TCCTCTCAGCAGCACATGGGACTTTCTCCAAAACAGACCACACAGTACTAGCCAATAAAGATGCTTAGGTAAATGCAAAAGAACAGAAATTACTCCTGCATATCAGATCATAGCACAATGAAACTAGAAATCAATGGCAAGAGAAACCACAGAGACTATGCAAACACATGCAGATTAAACAACAGCCTCTTGAATAATGAATGGTCACAGACGAATTAAGGAAGAAAGCAGGCAGTTCCCACAATCCAACAATGCCAGTGTACACCAGAATATACCAGAACCCACAGGACAGGATACAATCAGCCCTAAACCCTGTGTGGCACCTGCCATCCCAGGCTGAGGCAGGAAGGCCGCTGCAAAGTCGAAGCCGGCCTGGGCTGCACAGTGAGGCCTAATTTCAAAAAGGCACTCCCGGAAGAGAAGTCTATGGCTGTGAATTCTACATCAGAAAAACAGAGTGAGCACAAATGAATAACCTGATGATGCAACTGGAGGTCCTAGAAAAAAAAAAGAACAACCCAAATCCACAGCTAGTACCAGGAAGGAAATTATAAAGATCAGAGCAGAAATTAATGAAATTGAGACTAAAAAAAATCCAAAGGCCAGGGATTTAGCTCAGTGTCATAAGTACCTGCCTGGCAAGCGTGAGGTTATGAGTTTGATCTCCAGAACCAAAAAAAAACCCAAAACAAAGAATCAATGAATCAAAGAGTTGGTTCTCTGAAACAGGAAAATAAACAACCCTTAACAAAATTTCACTCAGATCTATGCAATTAGAAATGAAAAAGAGGGGCTGGGGATTTAGCTCAGCGGCATAAGCGCCTGCCTTGCAAGCAGGTGGTCATGAGTTCGATCCCTGGTACCGATAAAAAAAAAAGAACGTTAGAGGAGATCTAATATTCCTCAAACTCTTTAATGAAATCAGAAGGGAAGTAATACACCCAAAGTCATCGCTGGAAGCAAGCGTTCTCCTAATTCCAAAGCTGAAAAGGACCCAACCAAAAAGGAGAACTACAGGCCAATCTCATTAATGAACATAGATGTAAAAGTTCTCAGTAAGATACTGGCACACAGAATGCAGCAAATCGTCACAAAAATTGGACCTCAAACAAATGAGGCTCATGCCAGGGATCCAGGGATGGTTCCATGTATGCAGATCAATAAATGTGATATATAAACAGAAGCAAGGACAAAAATCACTTATCTCAGGCAGTCCAGAAAAAGCATTTGACAAAATCCAACTTCCATTCATGATAAAAACCCTAAAGAAAATAGCAGATGTATTTATCTCAATCTGATAGAAGTCATCTATGACAAGCCAATGCCCAGCATCATAATAAATGGGGAGAAAGTGAAAGCTTCCCTCCTAAAATCAGGAACAAGACGAGGATGTCCACTGTCACCATCACTGCTTCATATAGTTCTTTTTTTTTGGGGGGGGGGGGAATCAAACTCACAACCTCATGCTTGCCAGGCAGGCGCTTATGCCGCTGTGCTAAACCCCCAGCCCTGTTTCATATAGCTCTTGAAGCATTGGCCAGAGTAATCAGACAAGAGAAAGAAAGGAATATGGATAGGAAAGGAAGAAGTTAAATTATTGTTATTTTTAGATGACACTACATAGAAGACTCAAAAACTCCAGCAAAATGAATTGAGAATAAACAAATTCAGCAGCATAATAGGATTCAAAATCAACACTCAAAAGTCAACAGCAAGACCAGGGATTTAGTCAGCGGCATAAGTGCCTGCCTTGCAGGGGTGCGGTTGTGAGTTCGATCCGAGGTACCAAAAACAAAACAAACAAACAAAAAATAATAGCAGTCCTGTACACCAACAGTACACACCAACAGAGAAATTAGAAAAACCACACCTTGACAATATCGGCTAAATCACTTAGGATTTCGCCTGAGGAAGTGAAAGCATCTACCATGGAAACCTCAGTACTGTCCTGAAGGAGGCAGAGGAGGGCATCACAGAACATGAAGCCAGCCCGTTCCTGGGTAGGCAGCACCAGGGTAGTCAAAGTGGCCACACTTGCAAAGCTGTTATGCAGACTCAACACAACGCCAGTCTAACAATCCTGAGATTTGTGTGGAATCAGAGGAGACCTCGAACAAATAGCAGAAGCAATTCTGGCCAGCAAGGGCAGGGCAGGAGGCCTCACAATCCCCGACTTCAAGTTACACTGCAAAGCTACAGTGATTTTAAAAAGCAGCAGCAGCAGCAGCAGAAGCATGGTATTGAAAAAAAAAAAAACAAACCAACCACCACTACAATGAAACAGTGGAACAGAGTCAAGGATGCAGAAACAGCTCCAGGGACGCTCAGCTACCTTCTGTTTGACAAAGGGGACAGATCCCATCATTAGAGGAAAGACTCCTTTAACAAGAGGTGCTGGAAAACACGGGTAGTCCACGTGCAGAAGGTCGAACCTAGAATCCTATCTCTCACCATGTACTAAAGCTAAAATAAAAATGGAACAAAGATCTCAATATTAAAAGAGTTGGGTGTGGTGCCTCATGCCAGTAAACCCAGCACTTGGGAGGCCGAGGCAGGAGGATCCATGTGAGTTCAAGACCAGCCTGGGCTACAAAGTGAGCTCAAGGCCAGCCTGAACTGCACAGTGAGACCCTGTCTCAATAAATAAATAAACAAACAGAAACAATATGCTGGAAGACAATGTAGATAAAACTCTGTTTTTTTGTTTTTTTGTTTTTTTTTTTTTGCTACTGGGGACTGAATTCACAACCTCGCGCTTGCCAGGCAGGTGCTTATGCTGCTGAGCTAAATCCCCAGCCCCAAGCACAAAGACTTTCTGAACAGAACCCTGTTGCACAGAAAACAATACCAAGAACCAACAAATGGGATCAAATCAAATTAAAAAACTTGTGCACAGCAAAGGAAACCACCGACAGAGAAGAGACGACCTACAGAATGGGAGTTTTTTTTCTTTTACCAGCTATATCCTTAAAGGACTAATATCTAGAATATATAAAGAACTCAAAATATTACCCCTGAGATATAAAGACCTACTCTAAAAACGGGCAACTGAAATAGATATTTCTCAGCTGAAGTTCGAATGGCCAATAAATACATGAAGAAACATGGCCAGCTATTCAAGAAATGCAGATTGAAACTACACCGAGATTTGACCTCACTGCAGAAAGTACGGCTACCATCAAGCACTCAGTCACCGATGCTGGAGAGATTTCGAGTGGGGGTGGGGAAAGAACCCGCATGCATCGAGGGCAGGAGCTCAGCCTGGTGCAACCAATTACGGAAATCAGCGCGGAACCCTCAGGAAACGGTAACCAAGATCCCATCTGACCTGGCTACTTCCCTTCCAGGTATCTCCCCGGGGGTTAGCGACCTATTGTGGCGGTACCTGAATAACCGTGTAGGTCGCGGAAGCAGCCAGGAACGGACAGACGCGGTTTTTACACGCAGGGGGTGTTCAGTACCCTGCCGCAAAGGAGGGGCTGAGGCATCGGTACAAAACTGGATTGCGGCTGAGGACCTGCCTGGCCAGCGCGAGCTGTAAGGTTAATCCCTGGTACCCAAAAAGAAAAAGATAATTGGATGTACCTTGAGCCCTTAACGTTAAGTGAAGTAAATCAAATACAAGTATCACATGGTTTCTCTTATATGCGAAACCCAATATATAAAACAATTCAAAATAAAGACCAAAGAAGGAAAAAAGTTATTGCAATCCAGTATGGTCAATGTATCTAAAGTATAGCTTTAGCATAATTGTTTTATGTTTTTTTTTTTGTTAGTCTGGCTGTTAATCTGTGTTTATAATTTTGTTGCTTTTGATTTTTTCATTTTGAGACAGGTTGCAGGCTGGGCTGGAACTCAGCCTCCTAGTGCTGGGATTGCAGGTGTGTGCCACCACACTTAACTTATAATTAATTTAATACGGATTTATAAATTAATCTGATGCTGCCAAAAAGAATTCAAAGGGGAAGGAGGAAGAGGGGGAAAAAAAGAATTGACATGTGTTTTACATAGGCACCGATTCCCACAATGAATGTAACGATTAGGTACTGCAAACACGTGCTAATTAAACTTAAAATTAAAAAAATCCTGAATCAAAATCACTGCAGCAGCCTCACTCTGTGCCTCCAGGACTTTCTCAAGGAGATTCTGAAAATCCACACAAAAGCTGGTGAGTCCCAGAAGATCTGCTCAGGAACATAACATGGTCAGCGCTGGTTAGTTTAGGCTTGCAGGGCTAAAGCCATCTGGAAATAGGCTTGCAGTGGCGGACTGAAACCAGCAAAAAGCCAACAAAAGAAAACAATGATTTTGAGTTTTATAAGAAGTTTAAAATGTACAAAGGGGAAAAATACATTTTAAAAATCGAAACTTTTCTTGGAAAACCAAGGCCATTTCCTTTCCATTAGAGGGCCCGGCTTTCCACTTACTTAAGGCACTGGTGCTCCAACTGTCACAGCAGCAGCAGGAGCTGGTTAGGCCGCATTCTCCCTGGTCCCAGCGAATCTCACCCCACCTGCACCCAGCCGGAGGAAATTGGCTTCCCTTTTACTCCAGATGAAAGGCCCAGGCCCAGCCAAGGCCAACAACTTTTAGAAATCCTTTTTCTCTTTGCTGAGACAAAATACCTGACACCAAGTTAAAGGAGAAAAGGTTTGTTTGGCTCCCAGGTTGTGGGGGTTCAGTCCATAATCAGCTGGCTCCAGGCAGGGAGGCTGGCACCGGAGAGCCTGTTCATGGCATCCACAAGGTAGCAAAAGCAGCAAAGGACAAAGCCTCCCACTGTGTGCAGGTGCCTACTCCACAGCAGGGTGGTGCTCACACCCTTAATCCCAGCCAGTCTCCCACCTTTGAGCCACACTCTGGAGCCAGCCACCTCTGAAAACCAGCTCTGACCGCAGGAGGCTTTGGGGTGGGGGCCATCTAGATGCAAGCCACAACTTCCTTTCTCCCAAATGACCACATACAAATTATCTTTATTTAATAAAACACGCACCACCGAGGCCATCGACAGGAATTTATTTTCCGGTTGCAGAGCACTGGGAGCGCTCTGAACTGTTGATCACCGCAGTTCCAAAATCTACCTTAAGACATTTTCCGACCGTGTGCAAAGAAAAACATGGCTCATGGAGGGGGAAACAAAAATAACGAAGCTCATTTTTAAAAAGCAAGCTCAGTGGTAACCAACCACGCCACCACCGGGGTTTTCTGTGGACACCGGGAGAGACGCCGCAGTGCACCCCTCGGCTGGCTGCACCAAGCGGCTCGGGCCAGGCCCGGGCGCGGTCAGCGGCAGGTGCAGCGGGTGGCGATCATGTTGTCGTACTCCTTGTAGGCGATGGAGGCGTCGGGCTCGATGGTCAGCACGCTCAGGGGCGCGTAGGCCGCGGGCACGCACGACGGCCGCGGCACCGACGCGTCCAGCTTCTCGCAGATGATGTTCTGCACCAGCGTGTGGAGCGGGGAGCCGTAGCGGTGGCGCACGGCGCGCGGACAGGCGCCCTGGCAGAACCGCGGGTTGTACCGCTGCGGGGCCACGATCCAGCGGTCCCAGCGCAGCTGCCGGAAGCTCAGCCTGAAGTCGTGCAGCTGGCACTCGCCGTGGGGGGACAGGAGGCGGCTCAGGTACGCGCCCAGGCTGGGGGGCGCTGCGCCCCGAGGCCTCTGCGCCGTGCGGCCCGGGCTCTCGCGGCCTCTCCGGGGCTGCCGAGCTCGGCCACCCGCTGCGGGCTGCTGCCCCGCGCTGTCCGGGGCCCGGGCCTGCGCAGAACTCTTGGACGGGAAGGACCAGCGGCCGCGCGGGGCCTGCGCGCTGGTGTCATTCAGGTACAGGATCAGGGAGGGCGGCACCCGCAGGGGCAGGCCGGGCAGGGGCTGCCCCGGGGCCCTCGGGCAGGTGACGTTGACGGACACCTGAACGCTTCTCTGGCTGGCAGCCAGCAGGGGCTGCAGGAGGGGGGTCACGTCGATCTCCAGCCATCTGGGGTTCTTCCCGAGTGCCAGCTGCGAGCTGCAGGGGGCGGAGAGGGCAGCTCCGGGGGGAGCCTGGCTGGGAGTGCCGGGCCCGGTGAGCACCAGCGAGCACGCGCATGCAGCCGCAGAGGTGAGGGCGGCGGCGGTGTCCACCGCGTACAGCAGCACCGACTTGAGCAAGTGTTCAACGGCGGCGACGCGGCCCAGGTCAAAAAGCAGGTCCGCCGGGGGAAAGGCTCCTGAGGACGAAAAGGACCGTCAGATCGCCTGCGCACACATCGGCTGGGCAGGACGGGAAGTCAAGGCCAGCACGCGGACCTCCCCGGGCAGCCGGGTGGTTAAAGCACTTTCCTAGCGAGCAACAGGCCCCGGCCTCCAAACCACTTCCATAAAAACAGGGGTATTTTGTAATATGTGATCTCTCCCCTAATCCCCCAACTCCACTTCCTCAAGCCTCGAAAACAAGATGAAGAGGGGACACTACACAGAGCAAAGGTAAGGGTGTCCTACCAAATCCCAGGCCTGGACACTTGTTCCCTGGAAAAAAATCACAGCAGCTTGACGGTGAGTTAAAGCAGAAACTCAAGTCTGAACAACCTGCTTCACATAGGAAGCTAACAAGGAAAGTAGTGGTTTTCTTTCGGCAAATCTATGTTAGGAAAAATCATCCTAGTAAGTTTAAACACTTGCTGGGCGTGCTAGTATACGCCTGTGATTCCAGCGCTTGGGAGGCTGAGGCAGGAGGATTGCTGAGAGGCCAGCCTGAGCTACGTGGTGAGTCCATGCCTAGCTGAAATGCACAGTCTCAAAAAGCAAACAAACAAACCAGAAAACAAAACCAAGCAGCAAAGCCCCAGTTCCTTTCTGTGCCTGAAACATAGACATTTCTACACCCCTCCAGCCAGCTAAGGCCTCAGCTCCCACACACCTGTCACCTGGCCTCCGGCTGAGTGCTTGTGCAGGGAGGAGGCAGTGAAGAGTCGGACAGTGTTGTAGAGGTGACTCCTGGTGGACTTGGGGATCCCCTCCTTGGTGGTGTACGTCTTATAGAGCTTCTTCATGTAGTGCAGAGCTCTGGAGTCAGGCTGCAGCCCAGGGGCCCCACCACGCCTGCCCCACAGCACCTTGAAGAGGGGCGGAAGCAGGCTGGAGCTGTGTCCCCCATCTACTGGCTGCTGCAAGGACCAGGGCTCCGCTTCAGGTTCCAACTTGCCGCTCACTGCAGCCCCAGCTTCTCCCCTAGATGCCCAAGAACTCAGATTCTTAGAACTCAGCCAAGCAAAGCAGCAAAAGCAAAAGAGGACGCTGCGGAGAAGCGCCATGGTGTGGGGGAAGGAACCCGGGCAACATCGCCCCGCGCCCTCGGCTCCCTAAAGGCCAGGAAGGCGCGCGCACGCGATCTCTTCAATACCTTCTAGGTGTGCGGCTGGCCTGGCATCACCTCTGCAATCAGGCCTCAAGGGTACCTGGCTGAGATACTTTTTATCAGGTTTATATCACTCAGCTGATAGCACCCTCATTATCCAATTTGCCCTCCTTAGATACAAATTTATATTCATTTAGCTTTCCGCTTACCCTTTCTCCATCACGTCCTTAAAACCCTGTACGTTACTGTTATATGAATGGACTAGGTAGCAGAAAGTCTAAGAAAAATTGAGGGATTATCTTAAAACCTTTTTTCTGAGAAATTAGGATTCTGTTTCACTTTGAGACAGCTGTGGTGCCGTCTGGCCTTGAACTCGCTATGTCTCCCTGGCTGGTTTCAAATGCTTTGATCCTCCTGCTTCAGCCTTCCGAGTACTAGGATTGCAGGTGTGCACCACCACACCCAGCAAGAAATTAGGGCTTTTATAATGTCCCCTAGGTGCGTTCTGAAACTGCAGGGGCATGTGGAAAAGTACTGTTAGTGTGCAGCTTAGGGCATTAGATTTACTCTCATCCATCCTGGCCACCGCTCCAGTTTCCAGGTGCTTGCAATAATTACTTGTGCATTGATTTTTTGGGGGCTATGGGACTTGAACTCAGGATCTTGCACTTCACAGGCAGACACTTATGCCACTGAGCTATCTTCCCACTCCTGTGCATTGATTTGTAGTGAAAGTTACAGTTGACAGCAAAGTTCCAGGAAGCAGAGAACTGTTAGGTTGTTCTGTCCTCCAGGGCGGCTTAGCACAGGCATGACTTGGCATTTTTTTTTTGAATCGGAAATCGAACTCAGGACCTTGCATTTGCCAGGCAATGGCTTGGCATTTTACAACTGTACTTGGCAGTATTTTAAAAGCCATTGAGTTGGGTGGGGTGGTATATGCCTGGAATCTCAGCACTCTGGCTGAGGAAGAAGGCTGTAGCCTGGCCTACATAGTAAGTTCAATGCTGGCTTGGAAGACAGTAGACAGAGTCAAAAAAAGAAAGAAGGAAAGAAAGAAAAGGAAAGAAAGATAGAAAAAAAAAAAGATGGACTGGGGGCAGTTACTTAGCTTACTTGAGACTCTGGGTTGAATCTCCATTACAGTAGGCGCCCCATTGGCCTTAACTAGTTTTAAAATATATTATCTTGATGTCTTTACTTCGGCTAGCATTTTTATCTACACAAGCTTTAGTTGAAAAGTTTTGAGCTATGTTTGCAGGTGCTATGAAATCAATGTTTTATTGATTATTTATTTTTGGTACCAGGGATTGAACTCACGACCACGCACTTGAAAGGCAGGCACTTACGCTGCTGAGCTAAATCTTGGGCCCCGATGTTTTATTTTTATGAATGACCCAGATGCGAGTAGAGTTCACTACATTATTTTTGTCCTTAACAGTTACAAGTATCTGTGTTCTTGTCTTGGAACTGAGACCAGGCTAGATACTGCATTTTAGAAAAATGAGGCAAAGGGGCACCAGGAAAAGCCAAAGGAGAGGCCACGGAGTAGCGCCCAGCAGGAGACAACCAGCTGGAAAAAGGCATCCCGCACTCACACGAGGTCCAAAGCCAGGCTGTGCAGTACCTATGCTGACAAAGCTAAGGTGCATTAGCAAAACTTAAATTTATTGCCTGCCCAGCCCGGCTGATTTGTAGCTCCAAGCAGCGTTATAAACGCTCCAGATTGCGTAGGGAGTGGTTAGTCCAGGTGACCGCGGTCACACACGGTGCAGTCAGGAGCCGCCCAGGACAAAAGTCAGGCCGCAGCCCGCTCCCGGAGACCACAACCCGGTGCCCCGCTCCGGGATTGGTAAGGATTTGGGCTCTGATGACTTTCGTAGCCAAGCTTGAAATGCCTGTGTTCCATCTTAAAGCACAGGTTACCAGAGGAAGCGCTAGATCCTTGGCTCTGATTCCGTACGGGGCCGCCGATGGCCCCTCAGAGCCACCGGACCAGATCACCTAACGCCCTGCGCGCCTCCGCCGCGGGCCAGCCTAGCTCTCCAAGGCCGGGAGGACTGGCGGCCCGGGAAGCGGCAGATCCCTTTCTCTTCCCGCCTTCAGCACCCGCCCCTTCCAGCCTGGGGTTCCCGGGGTTGGAACGAGTCGGGAGAGGGCAGCGCCTCCACACTGGGGCCTTCGTGCCCCGCCCAACCCCTGGTTACCGGCCAGCCCACTGCTCTTTAGAAGTGGGGGACCGGGTCCTCCCCTGGAATCCACAGACAATGGTACTCCCCGGAAGTGACTTCCGGTCTCTGGAAACGGCTTCCTGTCCCACCGGAAGTGACGCAAGAAGCGGGCGGTGCAGTGTCGGTATCGGGCGAGGTGACCTCGGTGCGCGCCTAGGTCAGGAAAGAATGGGGCCGTGCCAGGGCTGGGGTGGGGGGCGTGAGGAGTGTGGGGCGGGCATTGGGCCGTGGGCGCGCGCGGGCCGTGGCACGTCCCGACGCTGAGCGGAGCGCACCGACCCTTGCTTCTGCAGGGCCGCCGTGACCATGGGCCGTGAGTTTGGCAATCTGACGCGGGTACGGCATGTGATCACGTACAGCTTGTCGCCCTTTGAGCAGCGCGCCTTCCCCAACTACTTCAGCAAGGGCATCCCCAACGTGCTGCGCCGCACCCGGGGGTGCATTCTGCGCGTGGCGCCGCGTGAGTGGCCGGGCGGGGGCTGGGACGGGCGCTCTGAGCTTGCATTGCTGACAGCCCTTGAGTAGTCATACGATGACAGGACTGCTGGACTAAGGTCGCTCGGGTGACTCCAGCATTTCACTGAGGTTATCGTCATCCACTTATCGGTGACGAACTGTCTTGTGGATGTGCTGCGCTGTGGCGCTAGCCAGTTGTATAACATCATGAGGACACTGACTGCCTAACTGTACACTTTGTTTTGTTTTGAGACAGAGTCTCACTGTGCCGTGTAGCCCAGGTTGGCCTCGAACTCGCGGCGATCCTGCAGCCTCAGCCTCCCGAGTGCTGGGATCACAGGCCTGTGCCAGCAGGTCTGGCGACGTGAACACTTTTAAATGATACCTGGTTTTGTTGAGACACGGTCTCACGATGTAGTCCAGGCAGGCCTTGAACACGCAGCAGTCCTGCCTCAGCCTAACCAGAGCTGGGAGTACAGGTGTACTGCCCCGCGCCTGGCTGAATATTTTTTTGGTTAGTTGTTAAATGGGTTTGTAATGTAACCTTTCTTGCTGCTGTAATTTAAAAGGAGTATCGCAGCTAAAAAGCTAGAGAGCAAAAGGTGGGTAGAGAGGAGCATTGAGAACTGTGTTTTACATATGCTTTCTCTCGCTTTTGACTTTTAAAGCATTCGTACTGGCTTATCTTATCTACTCGTGGGGGACCCAGGAGTTTGAGAAATCCAAGAGGAAGAACCCGGCTGACTACGAAAATGACAAATGAGCACCTCACCTGTGTGACAGATCCTGCTCCTGACAGACCCTTCTTTGGGAGAGGAGTTTGTAGTTTCTTGAAGACACAATAAACTTGTTATGGGGTGCATATGGCGACTTTGCATTTTTGTGAGCAGAATTCTTGACTGCTGATGTTCAAGTTCATGCCGCCTCTCAGCGTGAGTCCTCAACAGTTTTGCAAATGTAGGCTTTCGGTGAAGGAGTGCGCTTACTCCTTACCCTAAACCTACAAGCAAGTACCTGCGTCCACAGCTGCTAACCAGTTTGGGTGCTGTGGTTTGTGGGGAGTGTTGGTTCTTGACCCTTTGCTCCTATTACAACCACAAGGCCTAGTAACTATGTGGTAATTACTGTGTGTCTGATATCTGCAAAGCCATGCTAATAAAGTTTTAAGCTTAACAATCTTTACCATTATTCCTACTTTGCAGATGAGGAAACAGGAGGAGGTTAAGAAATTTGCCCTCAAAAAAAAAAAAAAAAAAAAAGAAATTTGCCCTCCATTATGGAGCAGTAAATAGGAAAGGGGGGGGGGCAATGTGTGCTCTTAAAACTTAAGTTGCCTGGGGCTTCAGCTTAGTGGTATAAGCACCTGCCTGCTAAGTGCGAGGTCCAGATCCATCTAAGGCAGGCTGTCTTTAGCCTGAGAAGTCAGCTATAAAAGGAGGGGATGGGCTGATTCCTTTACCTGGACAGCAGGGCTCCACATTAAATGGCTATAGACCATCAGCTTAAAAGAGGTTACCTTGAAAAAGTTTCTCCCTGCTCTGGAGCCTCTGAATTACCCTTTTAGTCAAAGAGTCGTCACTTCCCCTTTACTAGATGGGAAAGGAAGGTATGGTTAGGTGTGGTTGGCAGTTGCATGCCTCTGGCTTTGTACTGTTTAGAACTTTTACAGTCCAGCTGAGCTTGTGGCTCAGGCTTTTTCTAATTATTACTGTTGCTTTTAAGAACCAAAATTATTTCAGCAAAAGACCTCACAACATAAACTCCATTGATTGCAAAGTAGGATATGGGAGTAGTGACAATCGTGGGCCCAAACCTTTAAATTGTCACTTCCGTGGGCCGGGGAATTAGCTCAGCAGCATTAAGCATCTGCCTGGCAAGCATGAGGTCATGAGTTTAATTCCCAGTACAAAAAAAAAAACTGTCACTTCCTTACGCTGATACTGGCAAGAAACCTACGTTATCGAGCCTTAAATTTCACATCTGTGTAACAGAAATACTCTTAAGTCCTTAGTTCGTGATGGAGAGGTGACATTTGTATCTGGCAAGGTGATAACTGGGTTAACAGCAGATATCTGAAGGTATTTTGGGCACCAGGCAGGGTCATTTTCCTGTTTAGCTCTTTGTTCAGATTTATTCCCTGGTCTTGTTGCCAGGTATTGCAACATGTTCAGGTCACAGATGCCTTTGGGAATCTGATGAAAGTTCTGGACCCAACGGCAGTATAACTGCACCCAACCTTATCTAGCCTTACTGAGGGAGCTTCCCAGGCCAGGGCCTCCCCTGCTGGACAGGAGCTTAAGGTCCTCCTACCCCAAGCTTCCAAGAGATATGGCACTCTTCCGTGTACCTGGTGGTGGCACACTACCTCTCTGGCCCCCTGGGTGTTACCAGCTCAAAAGAAGCAAACTTAGCAGATGCTGGACCCATCGGTCTGAATCCCTTTTTATCCCAGGATTGTTCCACTGAGGCAACCGTGATTGGTGTAAGCCCTTGGATGCACTGAGTTTCTGTTGATGCTAAAACAAAGTGCGCTGTAAAATGTAGGTCTGTCTCTTCCCTGGGGCCATGGTCTCACCTCTGCAGCAGGGGTGCTGAGGTGGTGGGTATGTGGGGTGTGTGCTGCAGCCTGGAGATCCTACACAACATATGAGTCCTGGGATCACTTTGTTTAAATTTGCAGACAACTTGAGCAGAGCTTTTGAGGGGAGGGCGGTTGCTGTGGGCCCCATTGCTTGCCATTCTCCCACCTGGAGCTCCCAGCCCTAGGTGTGGCTGCTTTTCGCTGGCCATGGCACAGCCACCTGCTCCGTGGATCCTTGCCCTGAATGCCTCTACCCTCTTGGGGTCTTTGTGGATCTGATGTGCAGGCCAGCACCAGCTGGCAGAAAAGCAAATACACTGTGACCTTTTATTGAACTTTTACCAGGAAGTTTTCCCATTTGCAAGTCGTTCATCTCTTCTTAGGTGCCTCCTGTTCAGGGATAGCACGCTCCCAATTACTGCCAAGTCCTGATGATCTCCTCTCCATCTGGGCTGTTTCCCACAGCTGCTCATGTCGGGTCTTCTGCTATCTCCTAGGCACACATCTCAGCTGTCCCCCAAGTTGTGTCCAGAGGGACCAAGTTTGCTTGTCTCATTTCCTTGTTAGTCAGTCATCTGGACCCCAAATGCCAGAGCAGGAGAGACTTGAGGTCTCCCCTCTGACTGACTGAACAGAAGGCAGAAGCTGGCAGACTGTCAGGTGTACTTGGAGACCCGAGGCTCCTCCCTTCCAGCCAAGCAAGCATTCTTTCCTGACTGAGGCTGCTGAGGCCTTTTTACCAAAAAAGTGTGTAACGATTTATTCAAAATACTTGACTGCAGAGCGCCCATGAACTTTATCTTAAATCTTAGGAGCAGGTCTTCACAGTCTCAAGTCATGGGATAGCTATGGGCAGTGGCTGTCCAGTTAGATCGGTTCCCTGGGTGCTGCTCTGAGTTTGAGCAGCTGTAGATCCATATCTACAGCTACAGTCCGTGTACATGAGGCACTTGCCCTGGCTTGCTCCTAGAGAACACACGTGGTGAGTCCTCAGGGAAGGCAGGTGGCACCTGAGAGCCCTGACCCATGAGGATGCTCTGGCCTTTTTCTATGCACAGGGAGCGCAGGCTTAGGCTTTCTTTCCTTGCCGTGGCTTAGCAATGAACACTGGTCTGATTCTGCTAGGAGGGCAGAATGTAGGGTGTGTGGATTCATCTTCAGTTTTTCTGGTTTGCAATTTTTAAAAATGAGATTTTATTTTTTTTTTGCATCAGGGATCAATCTCACAACCTTTTGCTGGCCATGCAGGACTTGTGGCACTGAGCTAAATCCCTGGTGCTTTATTGGTAATTTGGGGTATGTATAATGATCACAGTCTTCATAAAGAATTTGTACATGATATAACCGATTTTCCTCCCACCCCACTTACAAAGGGCCTCATGTTTTGAATGGGGCCTGTCACTGCAGGCTGGTGAAGGGGAAGCTGGCGGCGAGCCCACAGACCCAGCTAGTTCTGGGACATCACACTGTTCAGCCTGTTGCTTATCAGATTTGTGCGCTTACTCAATGCTCGATGGGTGACCACGCAGCCTCTCCTCACCCCTGCAGGAGTTCCTTGTTAGTGCCCTTCCTGGGTTCATTCAGTCCCGGACCTCAAGGATAAAGAAAGAGAGCAGCTAAGTGGTCTTGAGTTTGTAGGGCTGGAGAGTTTGGTTTGTGGACAGAGTTACTCCTCAGTGGTTTAAAGTCCAAGGCGAAGTGGCCCCTCTCAGCCAAGCTCCATAGTCCCAAGAGGACTGGAACCAGGACAGACTTGAGGAGTCACATCCCACCCAATGCCGACTTTTAGAGCCGTCGTACCATCCTACTTCACCTTTTTTGGGTCTTTTTTCTTTTTATCAGTAACAGGGATCGAACTCACGACTGCCTGCTTGCAAGGCAAGTGCTTATGCCGCTGAGCTAAATCCCCAGCCCCAATCCTACTTCACCTTGGCAAGAGCCTTCTATTTGCCTGGCCACACGACTGGTGATTATCATGTCCTTTAATCAACACTTGTGCTACCTATGACAGGGTCTCGCTATGGAGTTCAGGCCGCCTCAAACTCACAATGACCCTTTTGCCTGTCTCCTGAGTGCTAAGGTTACAGGTGTGCCGCCACGTCCAACAACTCTTGATCTAGATATATGTCCTCTTGATCTAGAAACCTGTACTGACTCCTTCTAAAGCTAATGGATGTTTCGGACTTTGGACTCAGCCCTATGCTTGTCTGCTGGAAGGAAATGCTCTCCCAAGGCTTCACTCAGCTACTGGTATAAAGACCATCACTGAGTCCTGTCACTTTTCCACTCTGCCACTGACTTAGGAGCTCTTGTTGGCTTTCCACTCATTTAAACAAGACCTTGTCAATTCACCTAGGGGCCTATGTGGCTCAACTGCTGTGCCCTATGGCTGCTTTTCTCCTGGGAGGTATCGGAGGATGGCTGTCCTCTGGGGCATCATGCTGTGAGGACACGAGCTGGTGCAGCTTACAGGCGATGGCTCATCTGGGCCAATGGGGGCCTGAGGGCCATGGTTCCTTTCTGCCTAGGTGTGCTCCCTTAGAGGGAAAGAATGGGCACACCGAATTGCCTGTGCATGACAGGTCAGCATTCCTGCCAAGCTGGAAAAGCTCAACACCATTCATTAGAACTGTACTGTTACAGAGTTGTGTTTTGATGCTAGTGTGTGCTCTGAGCTACTTTCGGGTGCGTGCACATGCATGCATATGCTGGGAATTCAACCCAGGCCCTCACACATCCTGCCACTGAGCTACACCGGGTGTGCTGAGCTATTTTAGAATAGAAACGTGGTCCGGTTCCCACCCTCCCTCAGGGGTTTCACGTGGCTTCCAAAGTAAAGGACGGGCAGCGTGGACTTTTGACATACTGGGTGAAAGGCTCCAGGCCAGCGACACAATCATTCAAAGTCCAGATGAGGGATCAGTAAATACAAAGTGCCTCAAAGTAGCCCTTGAGCACATTCCTCTGGTAGACATTAACTCGATTAAATTGATCTTGATTACAAACATAAACTTTGCCCCATCTCACCTGGCAACCATGAGAAAGGCAGATGTCAGTCTATAAAAGGAAGCAGAAACTGCCCTTGGCCTCCACGCTCCAAGCCCCTTCCTCAGCCAGGATGTGGCCCCTCAAACTCTCAGTGGTGCTCCTCATCTGCCTGCTGCTGCTGGGCCAGGTAAGGAAAGGCATCTGTCACCGTGGACATGGCAGTGGCGGTGGAATTCAGAGTGGCTGAGCATTGCACAGAACTGCAGAAGGCTCCTTCTGCGCAGATGTCTCTTCTTCCGTACCTCAGGTGACTGACTTTGCTCTGCAGGTAGATGGCTCCCCAGTTCCTGAAAAGAGCTCAGTGAAGAAAAGGCTGAGAAGAATGACCCCATTTTGGAGAGGAGTTTCCCTCAGGCCCATTGGAGCCTCCTGTCGGGATGACTCTGAGTGCATCACGAGGCTGTGCAAGTAAGCCTTGCCCCGGGTGCAGGGCAGCACAGAGCCCCGATAGACTCGGCAGGGCAAGAGCAGGAAACGGGACAGCAGAGTAAAGCTGGGCTGCAGGCGTGGCACCTGGGCAGAGGCTGCAAGCTCTGTGCAGGGGAATTCCTCAGAGCCAAGAGCCACTCAGGCACCACCAAAGGGTGTACCTTTCCTGAGACCAGACAGCCACCAGAGGAGGGAAAGGTAGCAGAAGGGGCCCTAGGCACTCGGAAGGCAGTCCAACACATCTTTTTTTTTTTCTCTAGAAAAAGACGCTGCTCCCTGAGCGTGGCCCAGGAATGATGCACCCACCAGGGGAAGACACAGTGCAGCAGTCACCTCCAACGATGCTCCGTTCTGCGGACTATTAATTGCATTTCGGCATTTTGGCTGGGGATATACAAGTGAAGCGATCTTGTGCTGTATTTAAAGACAGATATGTATGCTTTAAATTGGTCTCCATTTTTCTCCTTAGAATGTATATACGTGGGTAAGTGTAAGTAAATCTATCAGTTTAGAGTTTATTTTTTTATATTATTAAACAGCTCAAATTGAAATTGTGGCAGTGTGAAATTCAAACTTGAAGGAGGAATCACTAGGCGTAGAAAAACCAGCACTGCACAACGACGTGACAGCCTCTCCTTCTGGAAAGTGAGGGCGAGTTACTGTTTCTCTAAGTCTTCTAAAGCAGGCAAGGGCAGGGTAAGGGGAAGTTTAGTGGCAGCTTTGTGACTGCCTTGGCAAGTTCCTAAGCTGTTGCCCTGGATCCTGGCCCTTACATGTCAAAGAAACAAATTTTCAGAGCGGGCCGAGAGGGGCGCCTGGCTCTGGCTGCCTCCTGCCGTGTGTGCATGTTATCTAGGACGCTCTGCACATACAGGGGCCTGAGCCCCAGCTTAAGAAAACAACGGAAGCCTGAGCCACCCAGAACACCAGAAAGCATCGGAGATGTCTGCTGGAGCAGGGCAAACATCATGTACACGCAAGGCCCATGGGCTGCACAGTCACAATGTCTGTAATTTGAAAAACAAAACCTACACTAGAATGACCAAAAAGTGTAGTACTGGAACCAAAAATATAAAACAAGAATTGCATGAAAAGGGCAAAGGAGGGCCAGGGATTTAGCTCAGCGGCATGAGCACCTGCCTGGCAAGTGCTAGGTCATAAATTCAATCCCGGTACCAGAAAAAAAAGGCAAGTGAGAGCTGAGGAAGTGTAAAGAGCACAGTGTTCATAAACTTTAATACAGAAAATCTATTTGATATTTATTAAACTTAGTTTCTCCAGCTATGGTTTGGCATTATACAAAGCATCTTAATGACACAGTAGAGTTAAAAAGATTTTTACAAATTGAAATGTGATACCCTTGTCTCCAAATATTTTAATTGCCATAAATTTGTTTAAAAATACACATTAAACACGTTTGACACTCTAAACTTTCTATAATCTCAATACCACAAAATACATATAATATACTATACAGATGTGGAAAAATCTAGTTAGTATATAATACTTTGCTCACCATTAACAGCTTTATTATGTGAAATGCACATACTGTACTGACTTAGAAATCCGAGCTTTTGAACCCCAGAGTACCTCTGAAATTTTAATGTATTGCAAACAAATAAAAATCACAGTATATAATTGAAATTTTGGTTGAAAATGTCAGATGCCTAAATATTTTGGATAAAGAAATGTAAAACAAAGATTAAGATCATGTACAAAACAAAGGCATCCAATTAGTCACTGACAGTACCTTTCCGCACAATCAACAGGCTTATAATTTATCATGGCATTACCTTCCCTGCAAAACCCTCCCCAAATATGAAACAATTATTTACCAAATAATTTTCAAATAACATAAAAGGATTTTCAATAAATATATAAGCATTTCTATCCTCCATATACAAAATTTCTTAAAATCACCCAGAACGGAGGCTAGATACAATGTTTTCCTAACTGTGCTTGCCAACTCCACACCTGGCCCCCAAAGGTGACGCCTTTCAGACGCGGACGGCCGGGCCAGCTCTGCTGGTGAGCCCCATGCCCTCCCCAATGCTGTCCAATGTTCACTTGCGTCAGTGATATGCCAGGGGCGCTTGCACAGCTGTAAAATGGGAACACTTCCTGAACAGCAACAACAAACTCAACAATGGGGGTAATCACGGCACCAATTTGAATGGCAGTGTTTCCAAATAGATATTTTTGAGAAAGGAACCTAACAGTAGAAAATTCCAATGGTTAAAAGCTGCAAAGGAACCCAACATGGAAGTCACGAGCCCTAATAAAACTAACTTCTGGGTGGGAACTTTTCCACACTCCTTTAGAGAACTTTTTAACTCTTGTCTTTAATAATGGTAATTTATGCTCAACTGAACAATGGTGGCAAGGAGAGGTCCATGCTAACATTCCTGAAAAATCACTTTCCTGCTGTGATGCCTGCTTAGGCTGCTCTCTCAGGATACTTCAAATATCTATGACTTGGTCAAGACTTAACCTGAACCCTTTATCAGGTGACCAGATTCCATTTAAATGGGGATTTACTTATTCCTTTCCCTTTCCTGAAGGCAGCTCTTTTTAATTAATCCCGGGATCCAACATCCCTTTACCTAATTTTACAACTTATTTCCTGTCATTTGCTAGCCTGGTTTTGGAGCCCAGAAATCTGAACTGCACTTCTCCAGTAGTGAGTGGGTGAAAGGTATGCTCACCAACGTGATTAATTTAGCATCTTGTCCCTGCATATTCCACGTCATTTGATGGTTATTTCTTTACTGATTTTTCTGAATAGCAACCTTTGGTGTGCAATATTGTTAATGGAAAAAAGTCTGTCTCTCTACCACACTGATACACCAAGCTAAAATGAAATACAGGTTCCACGTAACCTGGGAAACATGCGTCACAGGAGTGTATGTGGATTTTGAAGCGCTCCAGCTCCCTCAGTTACTTAGGTTTTGCTGTTGTTCTTTCTTTTTAAAAGCATCATCACAATCTGCCTGAAGCAGTCATCCCCAGAAGATGTTCCTAGGACCCAGATGCAAACTCCTATAAATCAAGAGACAAAATGAAGCCATTTTGTTCAATTAGCTACCAGAAAATTAAAATCTTTCCCACCCTGTAAGAGCCCTATTACACTACAGAAGGGCTCAAATATATTTTAAAAGTTAATTTACTACAAATCATAGTAATTAAGCTTTAACAATCTAAAGGAATACACATTGCACCCTTGAACATTATTATTCAAGGTGTCAACAAGAAAGTGTCTTAGATCAATTTAATAAATAATGTGGAAATAGTTGCACTAAGCTAAAATACTAAACACACATTTTGACAAACTAATTTCATACATACATACATACATATATATAAAGTGTGTATGTGTACAGAAGTTTAAGATCCAAAGTTGCATACCCTCCTACCTGGAAGAGTGCACAGAGAACCCTTCCTCTCCACAGCTATGCATCGCTGACTCAAACAATCACTGACTGCTCTGAAACTCCAACAAGTACTGGCTTCCAAACCCAGCACTTTCATTTGTAATAGGTGCCTTTGTAGGCTCTTGCTTCACCATGCAAGTGCATTCATTAAAAGTTAATGTTCCAAAGTTTCTGCTGTTAAATACAAAATGATGCTGCCTGACCTAGTTGATTAAAACCTTTCATGAAAAGAAACAAACAGTTTAAAAACAGTGAATCTACTAAAGCACAAGTGTATCATTCAAAGTGCAGCCCAGATGCCTATGCAGACCCAGGCCAAGAGCTCCCCAGAAACACAGGCATATGTAGGCACGCGCACACACTACTTTAAACTGCTTTTATATTGCAGAATTAAGACCAGAGGTGCTCAGTCTTCTCTGCTCTTCAGCAGCTATAGTTGTAAATTTATCTGAAGTGTTCAATGCTTATAAAGTTTACTTCTTGGTTCCTTGCCCAGAAAAGGTGGCACTGAGGCAGGGAAAGGGCTGAACACTGTCCAGCCGGAGAGGAGCTGGGCCAGAGTGTGGAAGCCTGAACCACTGGAGGGAAGCGCTCCCCACAGCCAGCCATGCCTGGGCAAGACTACTCTGACAGCTTCAGGTGCCGCAACCGCTGTGCGGGCGCCTGGAAAGAGTCCAACGGGAAGGCTGCTGCCGCCTGGAGTACAAGGATGGTCTTAAAAGAGCAGTCGGGTGAGTGATTTTTTTAAAAACAGTTGCTATTTCCACAATTACCTATATTAAGTACAAGTCTCAGACTACATTTTAGCCACTTGTCAAATTTAGTTTTAAATGTTACAAAATACTGATGACGCCTACTGAGGAGGGAAGACTGACCACCTGTACAGGAGTTCACAGTGTGTGCTGGAGCAGATGACACAGAGTGTTCCAGAAGACGGGGAGGGAGTGGCAGTTACACAGATCATGGTGTTTCTGAAAATTCAATCATTTAGGATTGGATTTTGATCCATTCCCCATCACCACCTGGTAGGAAAAGCTCTCCACAATGAAAAGCTTCAAAAATTCACTCTATAAAAATTAACACGATTTTAAAGAGGCAATGTTTTAGAGCAGCACCATAAGACACATAGGAAACTCTGCTTTAAGAAAAAATCAGTGTAACCCCAGAAATGCTCCTGCTCCCTTTATGGACACACTGACACCAGAATGCACTGGAGGTACCCTGCTGGCTGTTTTTCAGCTGCAGATCAAGCAATCAGAGGGACAGGACATACATATCACTTGATTAACCATTCTTTCTACTAGAGAACCATCACAATTGCTGAGGAATTGTCCTCTTAAGGGAAACTGTTCCTAGAACACGCTAAGATTAAATTAATAGGACTCTGAGGCAATTTCTCAAAGAGAAAAAGGTTAAATTCTCCATAATTTGAAGGCCAAAACCAGTAGAGCTCTATAGACATGAAGCCACAGGACACTCAGAGTTCCCGGGCTTCCGAGGTGAAGTGTGGCGGAGACTCGAGCAGAGGCCTCGCCACACCACTACACTTGGAGATCTGTTCCTTCTTTCCCTTTTCCGGTTTCAAGCCTCAGCAATTGTCTACAAATAGTAGGGCAATCGTTTTTCCTAACTGGATAGATTCAGTTTTAGAATAAGACAAACTATTTCTTTTGAAGCAGCATTACCCAATTAGACTAAGTCATGTCTAACTTTTTAAAAGCATTAACTTTTAAAAACTGATTAATCCTTATGTGACCCTAAAGGGAGGTTTAAAGTGAAAGAGAATTCATTATTCATGTAAAGGACAACCATGTATGGACAATCTAGTCCTAGTGTTAATTTGATCTGTAAACAATCCACAGACTCTTCATTTAAAGGTAAGATTTAAGGCACACCAGACATGATACGCGACACAAAGCACAGCAGGTGCGTTCCTCACCCCTGACTCCTTTATGCACCTTGCAGGGAAGGGTACTTTGACATACAATGCTCAGGAAGCTGGCTTCTTAAGCTCTATGATTGCTCTCCTCCCCCTTTCCAGGAGCACACACTGAACCAAGTCAGTACTTTGCTGTGTAAATTTTCTGATCCTACAGAAACATACACCACTAATGGGAGGCCTTTAAAATGGATAAACTCATCATCGCTACATCAGGCATTAGCACTGTATATAAGTTGTATAGCAAAACCACACACACCAACAGTATCAGTCACTACATGCTCATACCAGAGCATCACAAGCAAGTGTGGGGGAATTCTCCCAAGAGGTTTTAACCTTTGGACATTATCAATTAAAGAGATGTAGGCAGGAACCCTCAAGAGATAAATCATCCTTTTTGCAAGGGTAACTTATTCTCCTTCAATTAAGTGTCAAATGATTAGCAACAAGAAGAGTTTTAATAAAATCCATGAAACTTAAGATTGTCCTTTTATGAAACCCTTCAAAATGATAAGCGTCTCCTAGAATGTCTGCCTGCTCTCCTTTGTAATGCATTACATGCAAGTTACAGTCACCTTGTGATTGCTATAGTGTTAACACACATTCACAGCTTTTGAAATACCAAATCAGAAATTTTTTGTTTTTTTACATCCATCTTAAATGTCCTCTTCTCATATTTAAATGATTTCTTATGTGTAGAAGAATGCTTAGTACTAAGCATAAATTTTACAATAATAAACTTGTAGCTCAGATTTGAAATAATATCAGGTAGTAGAGCTAGGAAGAACATGTCCCTATTTTACTCACAGAAGAGCTACCACAAGAAAAAAAAAGGTAACGAAGCTCCCAAAATATATAAATAAAAATGCCTACATTATGTTTACGCTAAATATTCAACAGAGTAAATTCCTAAGTAGAAATAACTAAGTTTTAAACAAGCCTCAATTTGGGAACCTAAAAAAAAAAAAAAAAAATTCAAAATAAATAGAATTTTACTTGGTTAGTTACAAATTGCAACTGGAATTCAATCATATTACAGATCATTAAAACCATCTTATCAATGTGCTGCAGATTTAACATTTAAATAACATTTAACATTTAGCATTTAAATAATTTTTCACATTGGGAGTACCGAGGGGGTCCAGTGATACGATGGCTTTGGGTTAGACACAACAACACATGAACCAAGGAGGAGAAAATCATTCCTCATTCGTAGTGTTGACTGGGTGACATGTTATGGCAGTTTTCCTTTGTGATGTGACACAGTGTTGTGGAGAAAATCAGAGGCAACGAGAATGTGTTCAGTTCAAGACACCAACTTGGCGTCTTGGCGAAGCCAGTGCAGTCCCTGCCGGGTATAACGAGCTAGATCTGTCATGATGCTTGCGTTAAAGATGAGTGGGCCCATTACTTTATCCAGTTCAGCAAAGAATTCTAGAAAACCAAAAACATTCATTAAATAAAGCCTATAAAACAGCATTAATACGAAGTAAAAACCATCCTGCCCCCTACTCAAATGATAAGTTTGTCTCAGCACGGCAGGCCCACTGTCTCTCAAGTCATGCTGCTTCCAGGTCAGGCAATGTTTTAGAAAATGCACAGTCTGGCCGGGGATTTAGCTCAGTGGCATAAGCACCTGCCTGGCAAGCGCAAGGTTGTGAGTTCGAGCCCTGGTACCAAAATAAAAAAGAAAATGCACCATCTGAAATTAAGTGTTATATGTACATGCAGAATATACCACTGACAATGATTATAATGAACTGCTCTTATGCATTACAGTGGACATCTAGTGCCGCATACATACACAATGCCCTGTTGGATTACTCAACTGGTGCTAAACAGAATATACTTTTAAAAAATTTTGCTCATTTTTATTACCATAAAAGCATGTTAACAGTGTTAATAAAGATATTCTTTGCATGTTTCCCATAACAGCCTTTGAGAGGGTAGATAATTGTAAGTCTGCACTCAACCTTTCTGGTGTAACTTTATGTCATATGTCACTGATAAAACCCGTATTTTCAGATAGTTTAAAAATTCAAGGGATTGGGGCTGGGGATTTAGCTCAGCGGCATAAGCGCCTGCCTTATACGTGTGCTGTCGTGAGTTCGATCTCTGGTACCGATAAAAACAAAAAAGACCAAAAAAAAAAAAAAAATTTTCAAGGGATGGAAATAAAAATTCTTATATGAACAAATAGAGGTTGCATGTGAGGGAAATTGGGAGGGAGAACAGTGTCTCAGGATTTGATTTTAATGTAATTATGGAAACAAAAAAAGGATGTAAGGCTACAAATTAAGACTGTTCTTAGACATGCAGAGAAAAAAGAGAGTTCTTAAAGCTATCACACTATTTAAACAGGACAGGGAGTAACTAAATGCTTGAGCGAAGGGTCACCTTTACAGAATTCTAGCTAATAAATGCAGAAGGAATGTCCAAATAGAAAACTGCTAATGAGGGTTGGAGATATTTGTCTATTACACACAAGGCCCTAGGTTTTTAAGGCCTGGTACCATAAGAAGCACAGGGAAGGGGGAATGGGAGCTCATACAGTCATGGGCCTAGGCAATGATGATAAACAAAAAATTAATGATATATATATATATATATTAGTAATACTACTGATTTCTCTGAGTTTGTTAAAGAGAAAGATTTGTGCTAGTATTGTTCGGCCAATTTACCGCAGATGTCTTGTACTCTGGGTGAATGATTTGGGGATGACAATTGCGATAAATATATACCATTGTAGCTCCCAATTGATGTTTTGGAATTTTCTTTTTTAAATTTTCTTCCCTCTTTGAAATAAAATGGAGTTGGAAAAAAAAAAAAAGCTAAAGTTGAATATTGACTTCTGGATCAAAGTCATCAGCCTGACATCACCAGAATAACTCTAATGACCAGACATTACAAAAAGGGAAATTAAAAGTGTATGCTAATAAAGGACAATAGTAGTAGCTCTAGTGCACAGCCTGTGGCAGTACTGAAGAACCTACTGGACATGGGTCACAGCAGGCACACACAGTTCTCTTTGTAGACACGAGAGCCAAGTCACCCCAGCAGTGGAGTAGTGGACAACTGCTGATTTTCTTTTTAACTGTTGGTTTTTTCTAAACTAAAACCTCAGTATTTGGGTTTAACTGCAGTGTTGGCACTTACGATAAATAAGTGGGTTTTGGGTTGCAGTCCTGGTACTCAGTCTCTGAAAGGTTTGTTAGCACAAGCCTATGGAGAGGATCCTTATCTAAAATACTTGAGGGATTGGGGGTATAGCGCAGTGGAAGGGCACTTGCCCACCAAGTACAAGGCCCTGGGTTCAAGCCACAAAAAAAGAGAGGAAACACACTCAAATAAACCAACTGTGTTTCAATCTAATCAACCCTCAGCATATAACTATCAGTATAAAGAAAATGAGACAGAACAACCAATTAAGTGACATCATAAGGAAGTAATCACTCAAATCCTGAATAAAACATTCTATAACCCAGATTCTCCTCATCATCAATAGCATGTCCTCCAAAAAGAAAAGAAGAAAAAAAAGTGGAGGGCATAAAGAGCCTTAGCAACGACATGCTATTATTTACAAACTTTGCTTAGATCCTGTTTGAAATAAATCTGATAATTAAAAAAAAAAAAATGGACATTTGAGATGATAAGAAAAAATCTGATGATGAGCCCTGGGGAGGAAGGGCCTCCCCCCAAAAAGAAAAATCTGATGACAGACTAAGTTAACAGAAAACATAAAAGCCAAACGTTAGGTGTCTCTCATCATTATTTCTCCTTAGGAACAGGACAGGAATCTTTCATTTGCATCTGCCTGCCTCCTCATACTGTAAGCACTGAAGTACTATGTGATAAAATGACTCTGACAGGCTATTTTAATATTTCTCTGCAAACTGAATAAGTGCTATGCACTTATATCTGAAGATAAAATCTACTGTAATAAGCTAGTATACATATAGCACTTTCCCCTAAGAGCTTTAAATATTTTTATTATTTTCTATGGTCTAAGTTTAGGTAATAATAAACTTTTAAGATGAAATACCTCAACCTAATATTAACAAAAGCTAAGAAATCTATTTGTTTATCACATAACTATCTTCCATTATATCTAAAAATTCAGTTAAACATCTCAAATGAGTAAGACATCTAAATGTAATCTTATTTTCATAGTTAAATATTAATCAGCCCACAGTATGACCTATTCCCTTTTAAAAAAATTTTTTTTTTTTTTTTGGTCCTGGGGATTGAACTCATGACCTTGCATCTGTCAGGGAGGCATTTATGCTGCTGAGCTAAATCCCTGGCCCTTCCCTTTTATTCTGAAGACAGGATCTTGCTACATAGTTCAGGCTGGCCTCAATTTGCAACAATCCCTCTCTGCCTCAGCCTTCCAAGTGCTAAGTCTACAGGTGTGCACCACCATGCTTGGTTAACACATTACTTTTAAAGTGTGCAATGCACTTAAAATTCAAAAATGACACATACTTACCTTAGATTAAGATCATTAGCTTGTGTCACCAGGATAACGAGAGGTATTAATACAACACTCAACTAAATCCTAAAAGTTCTTTTTAATAATTCCACCCTTCAAGTTTATCTGGAACGCTACCTACCTTTTTGTTCTTTGGAAAGCTGCTCCGCTTGGTCCCAAATTTCAGTGGCATAGAGAAAGTTGGATGTAACCTGAACATAGCTGGCTGCCATCTGGTGGATTTTCTGTGGAATGGTCACTGAAGAACCACTTGCTGAACTACTGCCCCCAGAAGAATAATTTCCTGAATTGCCTGGTGACAGCTTTGGAGATACAGGTGAAGGCATCCCAACAGCTTTGCTACATACAAGAGAAATAGGAAGTTAGTTCATATAAACAACATTAGGAAATGGACGTACCCACCTTGTTTTTGTTTATTTTGTTTTTTGAGACATGATCTCACCATGTGGTTCAGACTGACCTTAAACTCACAGTGATCCTCCTGGCTCAGCCTCCCACATACTGGGATCACAGGTATGGGACTTTATATATTTTTAACTGTACTTTTAGGATTACAAATTTGGTTAGGAAAATATAAGCAAAGCAATGACTGAATGTCATTTCATATAAACATAATAAGATGGAAAATATAGAAGAAATGGACAGATTCCTGGATACATATGAATTACCAAAGCTGAATCAAGAAGATATACTACAGGGCATAGTGGTGCACTCCCTGTAATCCCAGCACTCGGGAGGCTAAGGCAAGAGAATCACTCAAATTTGAGACCAGCCTGGGCTACAAAGTGAGCTCAAAGCCAGCCTGAACTGTAGTAAGACTGTCTCAAAAACAAAAACAAACTGTAATAAACCAGTAAGAATAAATGAAATAAAGATATAACTGACAACCTATCAACAAAGAAAAGTCTGGCCCTGACGGATTCACTGCTGAATTCTACAAAAAATTTAGAGAAGACCTGACACTACTACTTCTCAAATTCTTTAATGAAACTGAAAGGGAAGCAATACTCCCAAATTTATTCCTGGAAGCAAGAAATACCCTGATATCAAAATCGGAGGACTCAACTAAGGAAGAGAATTACAGGGCAATTTCCCTAATGAACATAGATGCAAAAATCCTTAATAAGATACTGGCAAACAGAAACAGAATGCGGCAAATCATCAAGAAGTGAGATTCATCCCAGGGATGCAGGGATAGCTCAACATACATAAATCCACAAATGTAATGTACCATATTAACAGAGCCAAGGACAAAAACTGTCCATCAATAGATGCAGAAAAAAAGCCTTTTTTTTTTGGGGGGGGGGTGTTACTGGGGATTGAACTCATAACCTTGCACTTTCTAGGAAGGCACTTGTGCCACTGAACTAAACCCCTGTCCCTCAGAAAGGGTGTTTTACCAAGTCCAGCATTCATTTATGATAAAAAAAAAAAAAAAACTTACAGAAAATTAGATCAGATGGTCTTTATCTCAATCTAATAAAAACTATCTATGACAAACCAACAGCCAACGTCATACTAAATGGACAAAAACTGAAAACTTTGTCTTTAAAATCAGGAACAACACAAGGATGTCCACTGTCTCCACTCTTATTGAATGTAGTCCTGGAAACTGTAGCTTGAGCAATTAGACAAGAGAAAGAAATTAAAGGACTAAAGATAGGAAAGGAAGGGCTGGGGATTTAGCCCAGCGGCATAAGCACTGCCTGGCAAGTGCGAGGTCATGAGTTTGAGCCCTAGTACCAAAAAAAAAAAAAAAAAAAACAAGGAAGAAATTAAAGTATTGTTATTTGCAGATGACATGATACTCTACATAGAAGACTCCGAAAACTCCATTAAAAAAGCAGTAGATTTAATAAGCAAGTCAGTAGCATGCCTGGATACAAAGTCAAAAATCAATAGCCTTCTTGTACATGAATAACAAACTCACTGAGAGAGAAATCAGGAAAGCAATTCTTTTCATAATAGCATCCAGGGGCTGGGGATTTAGCTCAATGGCACAAGAGCCTACCTGGCAAGCATGAGGTTGTGAGTTCAATCCCCAACCTCCCCCCACCAAAGTTCATAATAGCATCCCCCAAAAATGAAATACCTAGGAATCAATCTAATGAAAGATATAAAAGACTTATACATTGAAAACTACAGTACTCTGAAAAAGGAGATTAAAGAGGATATTAGAAAATGAAGAGAGATTGCGTGCGCTTGGTTAGGAAGAACCAATATAGTAAAAATGCTCATACTTCCAAAATTATTATACAGATTCAGTGCAATCACAATCAAAATTGCAATAGCATAGTTCACAGAATTAAGAGAAAACAATCGTAAAATTCATCTGGAACCATAAGAGACCTAGAATAGCAAAGGCAATACTGGGCAACAAAGGCAAAGCAGAGGGCATCATAATTCCTGACTTGAAATTACACTATAAAGCTACTGTGATAAAAACAGTGTGGTACTGGCAAAAAACAAACAAAAAACAGATCTGAAAAAGATCAGTGGAACAGATTAGAAACAACTCCAGATACACGAAGTCACCTTATCTTTGACAAAGGTGCCAAACACAACAACTGGAAGAAAGATAGCTTTAATAAATGGTGCTGGAAAAACTGGCCCTGCACATGCCATACATTAAAACTCTTGAAGATACTGGTGTAGGCAAAGTCTATGAACAAAACCCTGATTGCACAGGAACTATCACAAAGAATCAACTACTGGGATCTCATAGAAAAGCTTTTCACAGCAAGAAAAATCAACAGAGTGAAGAGAATGCACAATGTGAGAGAAAACACTTGTCAGCTGTTTCTCAGACAAAAGATTGCTATCAAGAACATAAAAAAATGAACACATAATGAACTCAAAACAATCAGTCCTCTCAGATTTAAAAACCCAGTCCAAAAATGGGCATCTGAGATGAATGTACACTTCTCCGATGAAGAAACACAAACAGCAAATAAATATATGAAAAAATAGTCAACATTACAGTCACTTGAGAGATACAAATTAAATCAACACTGAGATTCTTCGTCACCCCAGAAAAAATGGCTATTATCAAGAAATCAAGCAGTAACAAATGCGGGAGGGGCTCTGAGGAAAAAGAAACCCTTCTCCACTGTGGATGGGGAGTGTAGACTGGTGCAACTACTCTGGAAATCAGTGTGGAGGGTGGAGGTCCTATTTGATCCAGCTATTCCCCTTCTTGGTATCTTCCAGAAGAATTAAAAAGTGATATATGTGCACCCATGTTTGAAACAACCTAAATGCCCATCGACTGAGGAATGGATAAAAGAGATGTGGTACTTTTATACAATAGAGTATGACTCAACCATAAAGGGCAAATGAGAGTTTTATAGATAAATGGACACAACCTGAGTCCATACTTACTTATAAGTGAAATAAATCAGACATGAGCATGTAATCATAGTACTCTCTCACTAGTATGAGCTGAAAGAAACACTGTATGTGAAATATATATAAAATACATACAAAGTACAGTTAAGATGGCTATACTTCTGATTTCTCTGAGTTCATGGAGAGAAAGGTTTGTGCTGCTACTGTACAAATAATTGAATGTAGGTGTGTTGTGCTCTGGGTGACTGATTTGAGGGTGGCAACGTGCAATGTATGTACCACTGTTGCCCCCTTGATTGTTGTGTTTTAAAATTTTGTTTTATTTTTTCTCTTTAAAATAAAATGGATTTGAAAAACTTGAAACATTTCAAAAGGTGTAGCTCAGTGGTAGAACAACGTACTTAGTATATACAAGGTCTTGCCTGGGTTTAATCCCTAGAACCAGCAAATGAAGAATGAATGAATACAATACTTTACCAAACATTAATCTATAAAAAAGTAGCTGCCATTTTGCCATTTTTAGAAAGTAGACCTTTAGACATTCTACTTCCACATCACATATAAGTAAGCCTGTTACAAACAATGCTGTGCGTATGCAGCACTCCAATTTTAACTCAGGGCCTTCCCATGAGCTACATTCAAAGCTACTTTTTAATGAGACAAAGGGTCTTGCCTAAGTAGCTCACTCTGGCTCAAACTTGCAATCCTCCTACCTTGGCTCCCAAATGCTGGGATTACTGGTATTTACCACCACACTTGCTGCAAATAATTACTTTATAGAATAAAATTTGACCTACCTTCCTAAGCCGGGGGATGGTGCTTGAGAATTATTATAAGAATTCTGTAGAAAAAAAAATAAAATTCACTTAATCAACAAAGAACCAAAAAAATTACTACATATAACGTACTAAATATACCTAAAAGCACAGGGCTAGAGATGGTATTAAGCTCTATCACTTGAATACACTAAAATGGGTACATGGGAATGTAAAACTGAAAGATGTCATTCAGAAGAGCTAGAGTGTCCTGGAAAACTCCACAAAGAAGCACAGGAAGTAAGTAACACAGAAAAAAGGAAGGGGAGATGGAATAGGGATGTTACACTATGTATAAAGAGGTGGAGAAAAGAACATACATGACTCATATGGTTTGCTTAAAGCAGAGATTTAAACAAGGGAGAAGACAGAGAAAAACCTTCGACTTTGTAGGACTGGGTAAGCAGTAGGGACCTAACCCTAAGGACAACAATGAACTCCTGAGGGGCTGTGAGGGGCTCCAAGTTAGAGCCAGAGAAGACCTTTAGGAGGACTTAGGTGGTGCTGGCCTGAAAAAATTATATGCAAAAATGTTTTAGAAAACTAAACCATCTAAAGCAGCATGGTGCTAAAGATCACAGATCATTTCAAAGATAAACAAGGCTGCCACACAAACAGTGGAAGTTCTACAATCAGATATATATACACTGAAAACCTTTCCCAAGAAACCATGAACATATTTGAGAGTTCTGTAGTAGTAGCTCGGCCCCTCTTGTGTTTTATGAGACCACTTCTAGGGTAACAATTTTATCTCCTGGGAAACGGATCCTCCTCTGTTGCATACTTACCTTCAGGTGCTCTGTCAGTGTCTTTGAGTACTTGAGAGCATTTTCCTTCTTCAGTTTGAACAGCCTCAGGTACAGCAGAGACTGGCATCTCAGGCTAGCCAATAGAAAAGGCAGCATATTTACCAGGACAGCAGACTCTGGCCACAACTGCACAGACAACCTTTGCAACATGCAAGAGTAGAGGACTGACTCTTCCAAGAGCGTAAGACTGAACATCAAAGCAGACCTCGGCACAGCGGTTATCAACAGTAACCCTTAGTCATAACCAAGAGGCATGTTCTCATGGCGGAATCCACCAGGGAGAAAAGAACATGATTGAAAACCAAAGATTAGCCTCCCATTAGTCTCTGACATTCGCAAATCAAAACCTTACCCATAGAATACCAATATATCATAGTAACACAGGCATTAAAAAAATTGCTAAGGGATAGTCTCTGCGCAAAATTATAAAAATTATAATCAATCTAAAAATTCAGAAACAGAACTATGAACATTAGAATTCTGGTGGAACATACATAACCACAGTTTATACAAAGTTCCTGCATGACTATTTCTACCTGCCTATCCAGTCATGTTGACTTCATACCTAGTTCCTTTTAGTTCCTTAAAAATTTCCTATTCCTTCCCAAAGTATAGTCCTGTAAGATGTTTTTCTATCTACAGATAGGTCTTCTCTTCTTTGCTAACACAGACTTCTCCTTCAAAGGACTCACCTCATACACTTTTGTGTTATTTATTGATTTCTGTCTCCTCAAACCTAGCTGTAAACTCCATGACGAAGAGAACCATGTCAGACAACTCATAGATACATAACCCAGGGTGCAATACAATGAGTGCACTAGGCAAACTAAAGTAAGTAAAGTAGTAACAGCTCCCTGGCTAGGAATGAGACAAACAGGTCACAGTGGTTTTCTCTTAAACACAAGGGACATACATGAGTAGAGAGTGGGACCAGAGAGAGGTTCCCAAAAGAAGAGCTCCCACAAGTGATCGCTTGAAGTCAGTAAAGAGTTTCAACATTAGTCTCACCATATCAAGGCTTCCTTTAAACAGAAATGGATCAGAGAGACAGACTGACAACTGTAATCTTAAGTTATTTCCAGCTGAATTCTTTATGAGTTTTGTGATACAGTTAAGAAAGGCTGATCCATGGGTCTCACACCAAAGAACATACACAGCACAATGTACCAAGGAACCACCTGTTACTGAGCAGAAATTATAACACACACACTCACCAAAGTACTGTAAGTCTTTTATCTGCAGCTGTAGCATCTGGTGCCAAGTAATTCTTTAGCTTCATAGTGTACCTGTGAGTTAACAAATAAATAAGTAAAATACTTGAGAATTATTTAAAGAATTCTGTAGAAAAAAAATAATAAGCAAAACCCCAATAAAACTCCACTACACATACAGCACTAAGTGTCTCTGAAAGCATCAGGACAAAGCTCATCTTTAAGAAACTTCCCTTGATCTTATGACTTTATTCTCAAATATTATAATCAAACCTAAATAAAACACCCACTAACACATCCAGTTGTCCTTTTTCAAGGAAAATAAAAGATTAAACATCCACATCAGTTTATGTGTATCAACCCCTTAGAAGAGGGATCAGAGAAACATTACTGGCGATGCTGTTGCAGATGTTACACTTACTTGATGAGCTCCACTGTGTCTGAATACATAGGGAATGGGGATTTGGATTCCTGAGCATTCTTCTCTAATGCATTCCCACATTCAATAAAGGACACCACAGCATCAAGGTAGTATACCGCTTTCTCAAACCTATCAGACTAAAGAAAGGAGAATAAAAGTAATGAGTAGCGATCCACTCTAAGTACAAATAACAAATGGAGATTTAAGCTAATTTGATTAAAATGTAAGTACAAGAGCTGGGTGTGGTGGCTCATGCCTGTAATCCCAGCACTTGGGAGGCTGAGACAGGAGGATCGTTGTGAGTTCGAGACCTGCCTGGGCTACAAAGTGAGCTCAAGGCCAGCCTGAACTGCATAGCGAGACCCTGTCTCAAAACGACAAAATAAATAAAAATAAATAAAATAAAATGTAAGTATAAGAATATTTACATACCAATGCATCCGCATTGTGCTTTAGCTTTTTTGCTTCTTGTAAATAATGATCTGCTGAGTAATTTCTGCAATGTAAATAAAATAGCAAATATTTTTGTAAGAGAATAGTAGTTCATTTCAGTTTCTAGTAACATTGCTTTCATGTGCTTAAGTAAAGAAAACAAGCTATCAGTAAGTATTCATTTCAGGTTTTTTTTGGTACCGGGGATCAAACTCACAATCTTGCCCTTGCTAGACAGGTGCTTACACCTCTGAGCTAAATCCCAGCTCTTAGCGTTTTTTTTTTTAATAAATGTTTTTATCAGGTTAATAGCATAAACTCACGGCAAATGTTTTATTCAAGAAAACAGAAATCAAGCTTCCTACAATGCATGAATGCACATATGTATTTATTTATTTTTGGTACCAGTGATTGAACTCATGACCTTGTGCTTGTCAGGCAGGTGCCTATGCTGCTGAGGTAAACCCCAGGCCTATATTTGTTTTATTAAGTGTATATTAAATATTACAATATGTAATTCATGTTCTTATTTATTTATTTTAAATTTTGAGGCAGGGTCTCACTGAGCCAGACTGGGCTTAAACTTATCCTCTTGTCTCAACCTCCTGAGTAGCTGGGATTACAGATGTGTACCATTACCACTGGCTCAAGCTCTCTAATATTAACTACTAACTTTACTGAGTTGTTTTAAAGATTAAAAGTAAATAAAGTTAGGCTTGGTGGCATATACTTATAATCCCAGTACTTGGAAGGCTGAGGTGAAAGGATTAGGAATTTGAGGCCAACCTGGGCTACACAGCAGGTTCAAAATTGGCCTGGACTGCAGTGAGACCCTGTCTAGAAAAAAGGAAAGAGTAAGTAAAACATAGGAGAAATAATCTTTTAACAAAAATTAGGGAACAACAACACTGCTCTTCCTTGGCCAAGAAAACACCTATTTTATTTTATTTTTTTTGAAAGCACCTATTTTAAACAGTGACACAGTATACCAGCAACAGTGGCCACCTACTGGAAGGCACATCCTCTCTGGCCTCCACAAGGGTTAGGCAACAGAGGTGGACAAGGATCAGAGGGTGCTTTCAAGTTAAACTCTCCTGTGAATCACACTCAAATATTAAACCTCTGGTCACTGACAAATTAAAAATGTTTCTTTTACCAGTGACTGACACCATTTCTTAAATGCATTTTGAAAGATTGTATTTATCTCACCTGTCATCAAAGGCAAGCTTTGTTCTCCGAGGCTTAGAAGCATCAGGAATCGGTGTTGATAGAGGACAATTAGAGGAGATATTTGCAGCCTTTTCCTAACCAAAAAAAAAAAAAAAAAAAAAAAATATATATATATATATATATACACACACAGTATCATGAAAACTGAGGAGATTAAAAAAAAAAAAAAAAAATCAAGCTAACAGCATTTCCCCAGCTACTGCTAAAATGAAAATAAACTTCCACTATCTTTGGTACTAACCTCTTATAAAACTTCTAACTTTATAATGTAAAATGGGTCCATTTTATTATGTAACCAAAATATTCTCATATTTATTAAGAATGTACAAACTGGGACTGGGGATTTAGCTCAGCAGCATAAGCGCCTGCCTTGAAAGCAGGCAGTCGTGAGTTCGATCCCTGGTACCGATAAAAATGAAAAAGACAAAAGAATGTACAAACTGGGTGTAGGGGCACACACCTGTAATCCCAGCACTTGGGAGGCTGAGGCATGAGGATTGCTGCAAGTTTGAGACCAGCCTGGGCTACAAAATGAGCTCAAGGCCAGCCAGAACTGCTTAGCAAGACCCTATCTCAAAAAGACCCTCCCCACAAAAAAATCTATTACATAGTAGGCACTGAGACAGGCACATGCTGAAAAATTAGAGATACAGACCTCATATCAAAATGACAAAATTTACAGATCAGTGAAAACTGCTATAATGTTTATTAGGTGCTTATTACTTAACAGGAACTAAATTAAGCACTTAGCATAGTTATTAATCCTTCAGCAATTCTATGAAATAGGTATTATATGAACTTTTTCAATCAAAGAGGCTAAGTAGGGGCTGGGGATTTAGCTCAGCGGCATAAGCACCTGCCTTGCAAGCATGCAGTCATGAGTTCGATACCTGGTACCAATTTAAAAAAAAAAAAAAAAAAAAGAAGCTAAGTAAATTGCCTAAGTTCATATATCTTTAGATGTATAATCTGATCTGATTCTTTTTTTTTTCTTTTGTCTTTTTCCTTTTTATTGGTACCGGAGATCGAACTCATGACTGCCTGCTTGCAAGGCAGGTGCTTATGCCACTGAGCTAAACCTCCAGGCCCGATCTGATCTGATTCTTACAGCCCTCTCCTCTTAAGTTTTATTCTGATTTCTATCAACAATTTCTTTATACGAGGACTCAGTCTTTCTCTTTGCAAATGCATTCTATACAGCCCTATCTTTAGCAAGATAAAGAGTATGTTCCTACAGTACAACACTGGAAACTAGCAGAATTTATCCCATCAATGCATGTATGTTTCAACAGTAGAAAAACTTGATAATGTGTCATTCACATTTGTGCTTAAAACCACTTAAAATGAACCAGGTAGTAATTTTTTTTATTTTGTCTTGCAAGAGCTTTTCAGTTCCATCTATGGTATTATGACTTATTTCAAGGAATGAAAATAAAAGTACTATTATTTGAGAAATGCTAGATTCTTTAGGGTACAGTTTATGTTTGTAAAGTGGTTTCCTGAAAATGACGCTGCAGTATAACATTACTATCTCTTCTACGTTTTATACATTGTTATTGTTTAGATCTAAAACGTCTCCCAAATGTTCACGTTTTCATTTGGCAGGTGATGGGACTGTGGGGCTCTACATTGGTAAGTCCAGTCATGAGTCCAGCACATCTGGGTCCCTGGGACATGATAACCATTCTCCAAACTATTGTAGAAAAGTATCTGTCTAAAGAAAAAAACCTGTACATCTTAGTTTGAGAAGTTATTCATAATGTGAATGACCTTAATCTTAAAAAAATTTAACCATATTTAATAAGGATGACAGTTTTTTACTTTAAAATTTTTTTTGGTTCTGTTTTATTTTTGTGGTCTTTTTGAGACAAGGTTTCACTGTGCAGTGCAAGCTGGCCTTGAACTCAATTGTGTAGCCCAGGCTGGTCTCAAACTGGCAGTTGATACTCCTGTCTCTGCCTCTCAAATGCTGGGATTATAGGTGTGCACCACCATGTGCAGATCAAGGATGAGTTTTTTTTTTGTGAGTCCGAGTTTTCAAATCTCAAACTTTACTTACTTAAATCACAAATAATAATCCAGTGACTTATACTCTTAAAAAATGTACAGATTTTAATTTTGTCTAACATATTGTTTACACCTAATGAGACCAATTTAGAAAGCAATGCAAAGAACCTGGTTAAAAAACAGAGAGACAGTCTATTGAAAAATAGTCTTGAAAAAAACTTTTCAATCCAAATCTTCATCCATAGACATAAAGAATAACCTCCAGGGCTGGAGATTTAGCTCAGCTGTGTAAGTACCTGCCTGGGAAGCGCTAGGTTGTGAGTTAGATCCTTGGTACCAATAAAAAAGAAAAAGAAGAAGAAAAGAAAAGAATATCCTCCTCTATGTTATATGCATGTTAGGAATACCAACAATTAGGAATAATTTCAGAGTCTCTTTGTTTTTTCAGTCTAACATACGTGCATTCACCAGTGAAGTTGTCCTGGCTAAAACTCCTGGCACCAGCTTCTACCTAGACATCAACCGTCATCCCGTCGACTCCCCTAGACCCCAGTACAGCGCCCTCAGCCAGCAGGAAGTAGTTACAGAGACAAATCTTCGCCCCTTTTCCTAATAATCATAAGACGGGATATGAAAGGGTTGCTGGCCCAGGCCAGATACTGTAGCCGGTAAAGCCAGGGAGCTCCTATCTTCCCCCACCCTTAGGAATTACCTCTGGTGCCAAACTAAGATCAATGGGCTACCTGTGCATCCCTAATGCCCCCCTTAGGTTCCACCCCAGGCCGAGGCTACTTATGTGCCTCACTCCACATGTTCCACGGAGAGATCGCCCGCCCCAGGGTGGAGATGCCACGCCCCAGGGGGTCGGGGTGTCTCTCCCCGCATTCCCAATATAAAGGTTACTTATATTTTATACTTCTTATCTTTTCAGCCGCCGCAGGTGCTCCTCTTCTTCCTCCCCTCCACAGTTCTATCATTAACTGTTTTTAAAATGTCATAACCAATTTTTCCAAGTCTCTAACTGAATTAATAGGCATGGGGACGGCTTAGTTATTGCTTTCACGATCTTAGATCACTGTATAAATTTATCTTCAATATTCTGACAGTATGAATATAATGTGCAAGCCTAGGAGATTTTAACAAAAATTTCAAAACACTGTTACCCTGACAAAGTCACGTAACAGTAAGACACTTCGGAAATGTACCTTAACCTCCTTGGAGCTACTGGAAATTTTCCCTTCAGTCTTTTTCTGCTTTGACGTGGAGGAACTGTTTTTGCTGCTGCCACTATTCTCTTTGTTGCTATTATTGCTTGATTTTAAGGAAGATGATTGGCTGATAGTCCTCTTCCGAGAGCCATGCTCTGTTTTTGGATCTTTTGAAGGTACAGGCCCAGCAGGTGAAGGCAACAATTCCTTTTCTTTTGCAGCACTCTGTTTGGATGACCTGCCGAACAAAGCAAACGCTGCCCTCATTTTTTCACACAGCAATACAGAGGGAATGGATTTTTCCCTTTCTCTTTACCTGCTTTCAAGAAAAACTTGCTTCCCCCCGACTTGATTACTAGGATAAATATTTTACTGTGAGGTGAATGAAACTGTGAATGTTATGAGAGCTGGTGGACATTTTATCTTTCTCCGCTTCCCTCTTCTCTCTTGTCTTTTCTCTCCACAGTGTATACCATTTCAAAACTGTAACTATGCACACTAACTAAAAGAACAGATGACTGATGAAAAAGATTAATGTTTACAAGTTAGCAACAAGTCTCCAGCAAGTTATACACAATCTTGCATCTACCCAGAAAAAAGTTTTAACTGTTAACCATATCCTATTAAAGGAAGTACAAAGGAGAAAGTAAATCTTAAATGTTTTCACTCCTACTGGCTAAATGCGAAAGCTCCCGTAAAATTAAGCAAAGGCACACGGGTAGCATCAGTGACAACAAGGTAGAAAAGTATTCAGTGCCCACTGATACACAGACATGAACACAGGCAGGCAACGTGTTTCAGGGAGACTTACTCTCTGTTGCTGGATGGCTTGTGGCCTGATGAGTTCTTCTCCTCTGTTTTGGGTTTTTTGCTCTCACTAGCTCGATTATCATCCTCATTCTGGACGACAAAGGAAAACAGCAGTTACTGGATCTGATATTTTTCATCTAACTCCAGCTTTGATCACTAGAAATCCCCACTTTATGCCTAATACAACCTCAGAAATAAGATGAATGAGGAAAACAGCTCACTTAAACAATGAATAATAAGGTCTTGGTTTCTGAGACAGGGTCTCACTATGTAGTTCAGGCTTTGAATTTGCAGCAATCCTCCCACCTAAGCCTCCTAAATGCTGGGATTATAAGCATGCAACACCACCTGGTCAAAACAAGGTTTCAAGGTAGGAAAGTTCTCTATGTTAGATACATAGAATCTCCAAATACTGAAAGAAATTCTCTATAGTTTTATTTTTCCAAATTCATTTTATTTCAAGGATCAAAAGGAAAAAAAAAAAACTACACCAAAATTTCAAAACACATCGGGGGCAACAATGGTAGGTACATTGTGCATTGTCACTACCCAATCACTCACTCACAGCATAAGACACCTGCATTCAATTGCCCAAACAACACTAGCATGAATCTTTCTCTTTAGAGTGAACTCAGAGATTTCCTGTAGTTTTAGATGAGATTTTCTTTTACGTAATGATTTTGAAGAAGGTATTCCAAAAACTTGTAACTCATATACCATGAAACTCAAACTTTAAAAGTACACAATCCTATAGGCATGGTGGTAGATGCCTGTAATCCCAGCACTTGGGAGGCTGAGGCAGGAGGATAACTGTGAATTTGAGGCCAGCCTGGGATACAAAAACAAATTCAAGCCCAGCTTGCACTACATAACAAGACCCTGGGGGGAGGAGCGGGTGGCACAATTGCATAGCATGTGCTATCTTCACAGTTGTGGAGCCATCATAGCAATCAATTTTAGCACATTTTAAAAGAAATTAGCACATTTTCATCATTTCAAAAAGAACTGTATCTGTAGCATTCTTTCCTCCTCCCCAGACTCTACAGTTTACCTATGCAATTTTTTGGGGATTCCAGATGTTACCTATGTTCTAAATATTACATATAAATGGAATCACAGCGTGCATAATCTTTTATATCTGGCTTCTTTCATTTCGTGTAAACTGTTTTTGTAAGGTCCATTCATTTGGTGGTATAGATCAACATTTCCCTCACATGGCTGAATAATAGATATATTACCATTTATCCATCCAACAACTCAAGACCATCTGGAGTGACTTTTTAGCTAGTTTAATGTTGCTATGAACATCTAAGTGTACAAATTTTTGTGCATGTTTTCATTTCTCTTGGGTACACACCTACGAGTACAAAGCTGGGTCATAAGATGTTATGGTTTATATCCATACGTCTGTCCAAGAGCTCATGTCCTCACAAATGGGGCTTTTGGAAGGTGTATGCGTTACTGGAGCGTTATAGGTGACTGCTGTTGGGAGGTGGGCTCTGATCAGGAAAGACAGGAAACCTTTGGGTGACCTGGATGGGTCTATCTATTTCCCTAGCGCTTTCCTTCACTCTCTCTTGGTTCCCTGGCTGCTGTGAGGTGAGCAGCTATTTCTCTGACATGTATGCCCCTCTGCTATGCCCCTCTGGGCAAAAGACACCTCCATTCCTTTACATCGCCAAGTGGCGGGCATTGTGTCTCAGCAATGAACAAAGTGCCTAAGACCTAAGGTAATTCTGTTTAACTTGTGGCAGAACTACCAAATTGTATTCTAAAGCAGCTATACTAGTTTACATTCCTACCAACGCTATACACAGAAATCCCTATCTTTCTAGATTTTCACTATCATTTATTATAGTCTCAGCTTTTCAGTATAGCCGAGTCTCAGAAAGTTTTAAAAATCTTACTGGCTGAAAACATAAGTGGCAGATCTACCTATTATTGATACAACTTTCATAGCTACATCAAAGTTTCCCTATTGCTTCAAATACTAGGGCACATGAATACAAATACTCTGTTAGAAAAGTCTGCTCCCCTGCATGAATGAGGGCCAAATGAAGAAATGAGAAAACACTATCTACAACCCTTACTGCCTTGGACTACATCGCCTCTTAGTTCCACCTGCTTTGTCTTCAGGAATCGCCCTGGCACTTTATTAAAACCATGTTTCAAAAATCATAATCAAGTTTAATGCTGTTATGTACTTTATAAAATCAAAGACTGACTCACAGATACATAAAAACTCTGCAGTAGTAAATGCTAATGAGACATGGGGAGGAGGAAAATATAGGGCACTTCTTTTTGTTTTTGAGGAAGAATTACAAGTTACATATACATAGTAAGAAATTTAAGCAGAATAAGAAGGATTTTATATTTTATTATTTTATTTTTGAGATGACATCTGGCTACGCTGTCCAGGCTGGCCTCAAATTTTCAATTGTCTTGCCTCAGTTCCCAAGTATTTGGAATTACTGGCAAATACCACAGAGTTTTGCATGTCTGTAACACTGTTACCCTTAAATCTTAGATATTCACGAGTTTTCTGATTTCCTGGGTTTACAAAAAGCTAACCTTAAATATATACCAGCATCTGTCTCTAAGTGCCTACGGCGCTCGGCAATACCTCAGAAGGCCACACACGATGGACAAGTGTCTACCACTAGCTAAGCTCGCATCCCCAGCAGATGCTTTTAGTTCTGAACTTTAAAGGAAAAAAGCTATGCACAACTGTGTGCAGTGGGTGGATGAAATTCTCAAAGAGTGTATCAAAATTGTGAGTTAATTATATTCAGCTGGATTCTAACCACTAATCTTTAAAATGTGACTTGTCTGGGTATAAATAGAAGAGAATGGTAGGGGTTGTATCCCAACTAGAACTGCACACAACCACATTTTTAAGAATGCTGCAAATGCAAATTTACAGCCTTTCTTGCACGCCCACGTCTACCCTGGCCATCACATATTGTCAACAGAGATGACTGGCTCATTTCTTATTTAGTTAAAAATTACTCTGCTTTACTGAAAGAGCACAGAACTCTCCAAGGGCCTGCTCTATATGTACTCTCAATCAGGCTTTGGACTCATCCCGCTATTTTCTAACTCAAGACTTACTGAGCATTTCAGATAGAAATGTTTAAAAATGAAAAAAATCAGCCGAGTGTGTGGTGGTTCACACCTGTAATCCCAGCACTTGGGAGGCTGAGACAGGAGGATTGCTGCAAGTTCAAGGCCAACCTGGGCTGCAAAATGCGTTCAAGGTTGGCCTAAACTGCACAGTGAAACCCTGTCTCTAAAAGAAAAAGGAAAAAAAAAAAAAAAAAAAAACCCACAACAATCTTTACAAACCTTATGTTTCCTCTTTCCTTTATTGGAAATTTTCTCTGAGGCTTGCTTCTGAGCTTCTCTCGGGTGCTTTTCCAGCACAGTTTTCTTTTCCCCCTTGGGTGGTTCTGTCTCTTTATAAGGCTTTCCGGGTATTCTGGTCAAAAGATTCAGGTCAATCTTCACAATAAGTGGATACCTCTCATCAGGCTCACTGAGAGGTGAAAGGAGTTCCTTCTCTTCCATAGGAGAGAACATTCGTTGCCGGAAAAAGCTGTCTTCTTCCTCCACGGAGGAGGGTTTCACGGGAGTCCTGCTGCTGTCAGGGTACTTAGGAGTTTGCGAGGAAGGAGGCAGGCTTTCACTTTCATCTGAATCTGAGGACGAGGTATCTGTTTCTATGATTTCCCTTGATTTCTGGGAAGATTTACTCGTTGACTTGTATTTCTTTTTCTCTGCTGTAGGTCGAGGGGAAGATTTGGACTCCTTTTTTATATTGGGTTTCCTTGAGCCTTTGGTGGCTGCTTTGTGTCTGCTGGAGGGCATACTAGTAGCCATGTCTACGGGGGTTTCACTCTCTATCTTCAGGCCTCCCCGAGGCTCCTCGGCGGCTGCCTTCTCAGCTTTTTTGGGTTGTTTTTTGCCTACAGTTCTCCTTTGTGTTGTGCTATCACTCTGTGCAGGAGACTTCTGCCTCCCACGCCCACTTTCTGATCCCTTTTGGATGGTTTTCGAGTCTCTTCCAGGAGTAGTAGAACTTGTTTCTTTAGGCCCACCTGGATCAGAGTAGCTATTCCCAGTAACCTGCTCACGGCTTTCTTTTTTGTAGCCTTGAGATGATGGAATGTTACTATCTACAGAAGAAGCTGGTGAAACTTTATGTGGGTTTACTTTATTCAACCAATTATCAAGTTGCCATTTATTTGTTGGTGGTGGTTCAGGCTGAAAAAGAAAAATACTTATTATTTTTATTTTAATATTGAACATTTCTCCTTTATAATGTCAAGGTAAAGGAAAAAATAATGCCTAATGTAACAACATTTTGTTTTTAAAGGTTCTGACAGGACTAAAGCATAGGGTGAGAGACTTTTAGCTCTAATTACTTGAATTAGAAGATAAGCTTACTTTTATATTTGGCCTTTAAATAGCAAACAATCTTATCAGGAATCTAATTTGAAAGGCATTATCATGAATGACCATATAATATTTTTAATTCTAGAAAGTACACATTGGAAGTTTCAAAGGATTTTTTTTTTTTTTTTTTTTTTTTTGTCTTTTTCATTTTTATCAGTACCGGGGATCGAACTCACGACCGCCTGCTTGCAAGGCAGGTGCTTATGCCGCTGAGCTAAATCCCCAGCCCCTGCAAAGGAGATTTTTAACCTCGTCTCTCTTACTGGAGACTGAACCCAGTGTTTTGGCACTGGCTTATATCACTAGCCCTTTTCTTTCTTTTTTGCTTTATTTTGTGGCAGGGTCTTGCTAAGTCACTAAGCTGTCCAGACTGGGCTTGAATTTGCAACTGTCTGCCTCAGGCTTCCAAAGCACTGGTATTACAAGTGTGTGTCACCATAACTAGAAAAAAAGACCTTCAAACCACATTTTAAGCTACAATAATATTATAATATGTAAGACTTGTTTTGTCCACAATAACAATGTTACATGAATTGCTATGTAGACACAAAAGACCAGATCAAAGAAATCTAATATTTGGGGTTGGGGATGGAACTCAGAGGCAAAGTATTTGCTTAGTATGAGTGAAGCCCTGGGTTCATACAAATGATGAGCACGCCTCCCAACTCCAGTATTTTAGTGACCCATGAAATGACCTTAAGTGGTTACTAATCTAGGAAAACTGTTCAAAAAAGATAATCAAGTATTTAGGTTTGTTTAGGATATACAACTCAATAGCCTTGTGTCAAGTGTGTAACCTTTCTTCAGCTTTTACATCTGAAGGAGGTTTCAACAGGACATTGCGAGGGGCTCGGGGTGGGCGGGGAAGGTCCCCCGCCCTCCTCCTACCTCGGGAGAGGCACTCTGGGACGGCTCATTGGCCTCACTGTCACTGGAGCTACTTTCACTTTCTGAGTCAGATCCAGAGCTGCTTTCGGATCCACTGTGGCTGCTAGAATCATCTCTGGAATTATCTGCTCCTTCACTATTATGATGTGAAGGTTCAGAGTTGCTGAAGGAGATAAAACATACAAATGATGAAAGGCTTATTTTATCGTGGCAACAGAAAATCATCCAAACCTGACAACTTCGTTTACAATGTCTGCCTATGCTGTTATTATTCAATGAATCTAAAACTTCCTTATAAATGAAATAAACACTTCTCTAAATAAGTTTCTAATGTGCTACTTGCTAATACTCTCATTTTCAAAACAGTCTGAGGTCTACTTTACATATCATAAATTCACCTAGTTTACGTGTCTAATTTAATGATTTTTAAAAACCTAGTTTTTTAAGCATAAACTTACAAAATTTTAAAACTACTAACACAATCGCCAATATTTACAAGGTCTCTTACTACATCATTAATAATGTTAATCAATCAGGCTGACCTTACTCCTTCAAGTAAAACAAATGATGCTCACCTTCCTGGTGTACTTCTTGGCATCGTTTTATCACAATCCTAAAATTAAAAAGCATAGAAAGGAACTCTGTGTGAATAAATAGTACTCTTTGTTTAATGTGGACAGTATCTGAACTTTCTTAATTATAAAAACTGCTAATGTACGCATGGAGAATTGTAACATTTCAGTGTTTAAGAAGCTTATAAAAAGAACTTATCTCTAACAACTGGCTCTTCAATGTTACTATTTAATTACAATTTTTATAAGTAAAATGAAAACAATATTGTATGACATGGGAAATTATGCAGTAGACATACCTGTTCCCCATCACTGTCTTCACTGCTGCTTAGTTTTAAGTCATCTTTTAACATACTAGAGAAAAAAAAGGCAGAAAGGATTATTTTTGGAACAGATTCACTATAGGATGCCAAAGTATTAATACCTATCAGTAATACTAGAAATAATCACTTTGATGGCCAAAGATTTAATTGAAAAACAAATTCACAAACAGAAAACCAAAAAAAGAATTCAATCATTTCATAAGCTCTAAATGGTCATGGGTGAAATAGTCACCTTTCTTTTCCAAATAAACATAAGCTATTTCCCATAAATTTCCTATTCATTTTAATATTATCAACTTTTCTCTAAATGCACGCATATACCACTGTATCACTATTAAAACAAATTAACAGTCAACACAATAGTCTGAAAAAGAAAATAACTCCTAAATAAAGCAAGATAAAATGTAAGCATCAAGTGATTCTCTGTTCTGAGAGATTTGTATTGCCATTGGCAATGGGGTAATAGTGAAAAGCAGAGAACACAATTTCCTAACTAAATAAATGCCTTAGTATAAAGGAAAAGTGATTTTTGTAAACAGGAAAAAATGACCAAATATACATTTTTAAATCTCCAGGCTCCAAGTCTTCCTTCATCAAATTTCAAATTGGTTTTTAAAAATACACATAAATATCATAGGCTGATATTTTCTGCAATTTGTTTTGAAAAATAAAATTAAGGATTGAAAATTTCCTTAAAGTCATAAAATCAAAACCATTAAACCTTAAATCTGCATTACAATCTGTAAAACATTCTGTCTTTTTATGAAAGAAAAAAAATTAGTACAAAGGAAAACTAACTGCAGTAGAAAGATGTTTAACTTCTCATTACCAGTACATTCTATTCTTTTTTTTTTTTTTTTTTTTTTTTTGTCTTTTTCTTTTTTATCGGTACCGGGGATCGAACTCACGACTGCCTGCTTGCAAGGCAGACGCTTATGCCGCTGAGCTAAATCCCCAGCCCCCAGTACATTCTATTCTTTCTTTTAAAAATTTTTAAGTTTCCAATCACTGGGACGGAAGTCTTCTTTTCCTAGTAACTACTTGTACTTTCCTCTCAAAGTTCAATTTGCTTTTCTAAGTTTGACTTAAAGTTCAAATTATTACACAAAATATCCCCTTGAAATAAAATAACTATACAATTTTTTTCTAGTACCAGAAATCAAACTCAGAACCTTGCCCAGTCAGGTGCTGTGCTATACATACCCAGCCTAAATAACCGTATGATTATACAATAATGGAAAGTACTGTAAGACTGGCATAAAGGGAACACAGAAAAAAGGAGCTTTGCCTTTGGTGCTTTTTTGAGACAGTGTCTCACTATGTGAGTTCAGGGTGGCCTTGAAGTCACTATGGAACCTGAAATGTCTTGAAACTCATGACAAGCCTCTTTACTCAGCCTCCTAAGTGCTGGTGTGGGCCATCACACCTGGACAGATTTCTGTTTTGGAGAAGACCTTAGATCACCTTTATAAATGACTTTCTCTAAAGACGTTTACTCATTCTGAATTCCCTCAGCCCTTATGATTTAACAATGGCAGCTCAATGAACCTGTTTACATGTATGAATACAATATGTCAAAGCTTTTACTAGGCTGTTCAGTGTCGTACATTCTGTTGTTCCCTCAGCAACCAAGTGAGACCATGGTAATCATGCATCAGTTCTTTGATACAAATATGGTAAAAAAGTGTAATTTGAATTCTTTAGCAGCTTAGGAGAAAGGTGCTTCCCCCCCCCCCCACACACAGGTTTTTTTGCTTTTGAGGTGCAGGGGTATGAAGCTAGGACCTTGTACATCCTAGGCAATTCCTCAGCGCAGCAAGAAGCTGCCTCCGTTCACGTATTTTCATTCTCACTTAGTCCTCCCTCCCTTGTTTAGCTGCAGAGAATACCAGATAGGGATAATGAGCAGAATTTGTGGTTATGGCATGAAAAATTGGCACTGTGGCACAGGACTTTGTGGTCAGTCCGTGTTTGTACCACCTGACAGTTACATCCATCATGGGAAACTGGCACTGAGCAACTCTTACTTCCCCTTTCCCTCTTCTGCCTCTTTCTTCCCTCTAGTCATTATTTCTTTAGAATTTGTTTTAAAAGCTGAGTTAACTTGTGGTCTCAAGAATTCACAAACTCACTTCTTAAACTAGAATTTACAACCATCCAATACACTATCCTGTTACTTTTTATTATTATTATTATTTTTTGTAGTGCTGGGAATGGAACCCAGGCAACACAAATTATACATTCAGCCCTTTTTCATTTTGAGACAAGGTCTCACTAAGTAGCCCTGATGAGCCTCAGAGTTGTGATCTTTTTGTATCAGTCTCCCAAATAACTAGGATTTACAGGTAAGAGGCTCTCAAGTTCAAGCCTAGCCTGAGCAACTTAGTAAGACCATGTCTCAAAATATGTAGCATAGTGCAAAGGCCCTGTGCTTGATCCCCCCACACTACACCATTCTCCCCCAAAAAGATATGGGTAATACAACCTGTGTTACCTTAACATACAGCACTTAGTAGTGAAATGGAGAGTTCACTCAGAATTCCCACATACTTTTTTTTAAACATACCTCTCCAAGAGAAAGAAAACTGTCACATACTCATATTCATGGCCTATGGCAGTTCTCACTCTGCAGTGACAGAACTGAGTACACAAGACAGAAGCCATGTGACGTGAAAACTAAAAATTTCTATTTCTGACCCCATTACATAAAGACTTCCCTATGCCTGCCTTAAAAGGTTAGTATTCTGCCAAAGAGTAGTACTTCTGCCCAGGATGTAACTATGCAGAGAAGTATGTGCTTTAGCATGCACAAGGGCCTGGGATCAATTCTCAATGTCAGGGGAGAAAAAAAAAGAAAAAAGAATACTGCTATTACTCAAAACATTCGGATACTACAGACAGCTTTTAGCAAGCCAGACAAACTTATTATAAGCAATAAACTTACGATTTAGACTGGTGGCCATTTGAAGTTTTAGCAGGATTGTATCTTTCTGTAACATAAAGAACGTAGAAACAAGCAAGTGAGGTTGGCTATTCAAGATTATACAACATTGTTCTAAATATCTACTCTCAATAAAATATAAATTGAATGATATAATTCCTTACCCATCAAAATAGCAACACACTGCAATTCAATACTATGACATGGTGAGTATGAGGAAAACAAGTATGCCTGTATGATGCTGTTAGCACTGTAACTTCATACAATCTTTTTGGAAGTCAATTTGGTAATCTTATCTCATCAATACTGTAACTACATGCTACTGTCCTATTTGAACAAAAGAAATCTATTTTATATCTGGAGGATATAAACACAAAGACACTCACAAAAATGGTTTTTCATAGCAAAAGCTGAAAATAAATGTTCATCAGTAGAGTACTGGTATATAAATTATGATTCTTTCATATAATACAATTTTAGTATTAAAAAAATGAACACAGCTTTATACTAATACAATTTTAAAACAATGTAAATAAAACAAGATAACAAAGAATAGATGCAGCTTATGATTAGCACAGTTAGCTTCAGGAGAAGGAATGAGGTGGGGCAGAAGCAAAGATGACTTTTTTTTTGGAGGCAGGGTCTCACTATGTAGTTCAGGAGACCCTTGAACTCACAGCGGAGCCCTGGATTCCCTCAAACTCACAGCAATCCTTCTGCCTCAGCTTCCCAAGTGCTGGGATTACAGGCGTGTGCCACCATGCCTGGAGATGAGATATTCTTAGGGGGGGGGGTAGAGGGGGGTGGAATTTTTGTACATATCAACAATGTACAATGTTGTTTTCTTTAACTACAGCTACGAGGAAGAACTAAAATGGTTACACAGATATAGAAAGTTAAACATTAAGCATGATATGCTAATTTGGATTCACTAGCAAAGGATCAAAAAAGTTCCATATTTTCATCTCTCAAAATACTTTAAAGGAGTATAAATCTAAGTTATTTAAGAAGTTGTTTCTCTTGGCAAAAGTAACTCTTTTGTTACAGAGCTTTAGGGCTAAACTCAAACATTTGTGATGGTTCCTGACCTCAGTGCCACCTATCTATACATCTTCTGGGATCACACATAAATTCCCAGAAGCTCTAGAAGGTCAAGAGCTGAAGTGAAAGCAGGGTTGTAGAAAACTGCAGATTTTTTTAATCTAGACCATAAGATACAAGAAGAACAGGGAATACATCAACATAGGAAGAACAGTCACAGCTTACTAAAATTAATCTGTTCTTCCCGACAGTTTTACCATAACAGAACCAAGTTATCTGCGAGGAAGTAGAAAGACAGAAGTATAGCTCCAGAGTTAATGAGGGGCCCATCAAGTTAACTTTACAAACTTTCAACTATAAATCATTCCTAATGACCTATACAGTTCTTACTTTTTAAAGAAGCAGTTACTACTTATCAAATCACGTAATTATGAAATTACACAGAAAGAACTACTAAAGTAATCTGAGGTATATTCCATATGCTCAGTTAATTAATTTGAAAACCTAAAGAAAAACAAATACTCACTTTGTTCCCCAGGGCCAAAATTGGACTGCTGAGACTCCTAAAGAAAAGGAAGATAAAATAATATAAAGTGAATTTAAAACAGAACAGTCCATTATTGGAAAATGCTTCCAATTACATGAAAGTGCTTCCAATACTGAAAGAATGTGATGGCATTATTTAATTAGTAATGGCGATTTTGTGCTCAACACTGGACTTTACCAGAGGTTTACAAAATCCACTTACAAAACACTTCTTGAAAAGCATTAAGTTATGCAGTAATTTTTATTATTCATTTCTTTACAGCAGCACCCGTAGTACTAACTTAAATTTGAAGATCTAGAGAGTAAATAATTTCAATTCAAGAAATTTTGGTCTTAAGAAAATGCTGATTTTTTTTAAAAGGTGGTATTAAGAACAGTACACTAGGTAAAAGTAACTATGCAACCTATATATATTGAAGGTACCACTTCTATGGACCACCCCTCAAAAAACCCACAAAAATTCACACGCATATTGTCATGTCATTTTCTCTCTCTTACAACGTTGCCAGCATCTTATAAACCATCAGAAATCTGAAAGAACATCATCTATGTCCTCTCAAAAGTCCTATAACAGTGTAGCACCTGACACTTCATCTGATGCTGAAGAAACATTAACAGAAACCAAAATGTTACTGTCAAGGAAAGAAACATAGCTTCCCCAATAATATTCGTGATTATAACAGGTGTCTTATATGATAACTGTATTTCCACATTGAGTTTCTAGTTGATACCTGATGTAATACTAAAATTTATAGCAAAGACTCAAAAGCCTATTTAAAAGTAAAACACAACCTTCCTTCATGACACTACTATTAGTGAAAAAGCAATCCAAACAGTAACAAAGTTAAATTATAGTTTTGCTATTTAAAAACTACGAATCTAAACTAATCACAGTTGTGCACACTTGTAATCTCAGCATTCTGGGAGGCTGAGGCTGAAGCATTCCAAGTTCGAGGCCAGACTGGGCAACTTAATGACTTATTGAGAACCTGTCTCAAAAAAGGAATGGGGGAGGATTGCTGGGGACACAGCTCATTGTGAAGAACCTAAGTTCAATCCCCATTCGCTGCCTCAAAAAAAACTTTTAATCTATTATCCACAAGCATTTGACAATCCCTGGTACCAAAAAAACAAAAAAACAACTCAAGGAAGAAAATGTGGTACCAAACCTTAAAGACTTCAATTTGACAGAGAATTCTTACATTTGATACCAAAAGCATGATGTAACATTAAAAAAAAAAAAAAGATAAATGAGACTTCATGAAAATTAGGAACTTTTGCACTCCAAAAGACAACATCAAGAAAGTAAAAAGACAATTTACAGAATGGGAGAAAGTATTTGCAAAGGATGAACTGGCATCTACAATATATAAAGACCTCTTACAATTCAAACGTAAGATAACCCAATTTTAAAAATGAGAAAATCATCTAAACTACTAGACATTTCTCCCAAGAAAAAAAATAGCCAATAACTACATGAAAGATGTTCATAAACATGGATAGATCAAATCCCATGATGAGACACTACTGCATATTCATTAAGATGACTAAAATATGGGGGCTGGGGATTTAGCTCAGTGGCATAAGCACCTGCCTTGCAAGCAGGCAGTCGTGAGTTCGATCCCTGGTACCGATAAAAATGAAAAAGACCAAAAAAAAAAGATGATTAAAATAAAAGAACCAGATATGGTGGCACATGCCTCTAATCCTAGTATTTGGGAGGCTGAGGCAGGAGAATTCTTGTGAGCTACAAACCAACTGGAACTCCATAGCTTTGAAAAAAAACAGAGAGAGATAACAAGCATTTTCAAGGATTGGAGAAATCAGAACTCTGATAAAAATGCAAAATGGTACAAGTGGTTTGGAAACATGCTGGCAGTTTCTCAAATGATTAGACACTGTTAACCATAAAATATAATGAATTCATATATTTATATAACTGAGCAAAATGAAAGCACATATGCACACAAATACTTCTCTAAGAATGTCTATGGCAGCGTTATTCATAATTGAAGAAAGAAACAACAGAAATTACCAAGAGCTGATGAATGTATCAATAAAGTATGACTTACTGGGTAAGGTGGCACATGCCTATAATCCCAGCACTTGGGATGATGAGGCAGGAAGACTGCTACAAGTTCCAAGGCCAGCCTGGGTTACTTAGCCCAAAGATAGCCTAAGCTACAAGTGGGACCTTGTCTCACAAAACCTGAATGAATAAGGCTCAATGGAACATCCTTCCATAAAAAGAAACTGACACTTGCTATAACTCGGGTGAACCCTGAAGGCATGAGAAGTGAAAGAGTCCAGTTACAGAAAGTCTTGAAACAGCCCATTTACATGAAATGTCCAGAACAGAACAATTTATAGAGATAGACCAGTGATTGCTCAGGAGGGAAAAGAGAGGGGAAAGAATGTGAAATTTCTTTTTGGAGTGACGAAAATATTCTAATATTATAGTGATGGCTTTACATATCTGTTAAGTATACTCAAAAGCACTGAACTGTACATTTTAAAATGATGCATTACATGGTAAAGAATTTCTGGGGAGTGCAGTGCTGGGGAACTCAAATAGGGCTTTTGCACTGAGCGACAGACTCAGCCCTTACTTAAAATGTTGACATAGGGTCTTGCTATTTTGCCCAAGATAGGGTCAAACCCACAATGCTGCTATGTGAGCGTTGTGCCTGGACATTTTTGGAGACTCGAGAAAGAATAACAAGTGCCAGAAGCATATTTCTGGCTTTGGGGTGTTGAATATTCTGCAAGTGGCTTTTCACTTTGGGTCTGGCCTTTTTCATTCCAACTGTACTACCAGGTTTTAAACTTTGCCATGATCGTGTCTTCTGTACTCATGATACAGGAAGGCTTGACTGCCCTCACAGTGAGAGCCCCATCATGGTGGTGCGGAGTGGCAGGATGGAGCCAGCCTTTCACAGGGGACCTTCTGTTCCTCACAAACTTCCAGGAAGACCCCATCAGAGCTGGTGGGGTTGTTTTTAAATAATTGTTTTTAAAGTCGAAGGACAAGACATTCCAATAGTACACAGAATAATCAAAGTTCATGAAAAAGATAACATCAATTTTCTGACTAAAGGAGATAATAACGAAGTTGATGATAGAGGCTTGTACAAAGAAGGCCAGAACTGGCTGCAAAAGCAGGACATGGGGAAAGAGCATGAGGGTTTTTACCATATGCTGATATGGTCACCATAATAATGAATGACTATCCAAAATTCAAGTATGCACTTTTGGCTATAATGGGTGTATATGTGTTACTGCAACGTGAATCCTAACATGAGAAGCAAAGACTAGGACTAGACTGAAGTGAATTCTGTTGAAAAGAAAAAAAAGTAATATATTTGAAATGCTCCACTTTCTGTATAAAAGAAAACTCTGTGGAGATATTTTTGTCTTGTCCAAATAAATGATTCATCATTAAAAAAAAAAAATCAAAATAGGTGTTAGATGTAAGACCCAAACCTGGAATTGCCAGAAGAAAATATGGGGGAAACATATGAAGCCATAGTTCCAGGCAAAGACTTCCTGCCAGACACAGAAGTGCACACCATCCCAGCACTTGGAGGCGGAGGCAGGAGGACTGCCATGAGTTCGAGGCCAGGCTGCGCTACATACTGTGATCCTGTCTCAGGAAAAAAAAAAAAAAAGACTTCCTGAATAGGACTCACAGCACACAAAGTATCAAGAATCAACAGATGAGACTACATCAAACTAAAAAGTTTCTATATAGGAAGAGAAACAACAAAAAGAGTGAAGAAATAGCTTATGGAATGGATGAAAATCTTTATATATTCTGAAAGGATCCAGAATATATAAAGAATTTAAAAATCTTAACATTAAATTTTTTTGTCTTTTTCTTTTTTATCGGTACTGGGGATCGAACTCATTGACTGCCTGCTTGCAAGGCAGGTGCTTATGCCGCTGAGCTAAATCCCCAGGACCCCCCCTTTTTTTTTTTGGTCAACATTAAAAAATTAAATAGCCCGATCAATAAATGGACAAATGAAGTCAACAGACACTTCTAAAAAAAAGTACAAATAGCCATAAGTAAATGAAAAAAACGTTCATCACCTGTTGCCATTATGAAAATATAAATGAAAACTATGCTCTGATTCCATCTTATCCCTGTTGGAATGGCCATCATCAAAAGTACAAAACACATTATGCTAGCAAGGATGTGAGTGAAAAATGAACACTTCTACAATGCTAGTAATTCAAGTTAGTATAGCCACTGTGGTAGTTAGAATGGAGGTTCCTCAAAAACCAATAGACTGGGGCTGGGGATTTAGCTCAGTGGCATAAGCACCTGCCTTGCAAGCAGGCAGTCATGAGTTCGATTCCTGGTACCGATAAAAAACAAAAAAGAAAAAAAAAAAGAAAAAAAACCCAATAGACTAGCACATGAGCCAGGCACAGCCCCCCTTGTTATACACTTGAAGCAACTACAGTCAGTATACCATAGAGATATACCTTCATACTCATGTTATTGTGGCACAACTTACATCAGCCACAGGGATATGGTACCAGCCTGGATGCCCATCAAGATGAACAGATAAAATACGGTATATGCAATGGAGTGTAGGGAGCCGTTGAAGCTGGAGATTGATCAGATGTGTGGGGCTAAAAAGGCCAACCCCAAAAACAGAGAGACCAAAACAGGCCACATAAATAAGCTGTTCGAGTTCCAAGAAAGCAAGGGGCCCAGGCCAGCCAGGTACACAAAGTGCTAGGCAATAGGGCTGAAATGGGCATCATGCTTCTGAGTATATAACTAAATGTGCCACACTGTTTAGGCAGTTCATTCTCTCTCAGAAGGACAGGAAGGGCTCCACCTGACTCCAGCTTTTATCTCTTCTTTATTTTCTCATCCTCCTCTCATGTTCTTTCAAGAACCTCAAGAGCCGCATAGGTCAGGGCAATGGAGTGTTATTTAGCCATCAGAAAGAAACAAATTAAGTTGGGCATGGTGGTGCAAGCCTGTAATCCCAGCACTCAG